ACGTGGGTGGGGGGGAGGGCTGAGTTAAGCCGCCTTTTGTTAAACTGCAGGGGGTTCGGGGGGAGGGGTGGCGTACTGCACAAAAGCGGGTAAAACCTCCTTTTGTTATGCTGCAGGGGGTTCGGGGGGAACGATGGCGTGCTGCACGAAAGCGAGTACAGCCCCATTTTTTAGAAAGCAATGTAAATGGCTGTACAATTATAAGGCAGCTTAAGTTTGGCATACAACCCACTGAGAGATGGAAATGGCTGTACAATTATAAGGCAACAAACGTTTGACTTGATTTATAACATCTTTCCAATGGTTGCTCAATTTGAAACCATCCTCTCGGTTTAAGTTGTGTCTGTGTTTGTATATCTGGATGGCTTCATGGACAAATCTCTGGTAATAACCGGGAGGTTTGCAGAGAACTTTGGTATCAGAGAAAACAATGTCATGAGAACCCGCTATGTTGACACAATGATCAGCCACGGCCGAAGAATTTGTTCTGCCGTGTTTCAAATCTGATTTGTGCTCGCGGATTCGGTCAGAAATATGTCGTTTCGTCTCCCCGATATAGCAGTCACCACAGGTACAACTCAATTTGTAAACACCGGGGTACTGTAAGTCAGGAATGACATCCTTTACGGATGGGATCAGATCACGGATTTTGTGTACTGTATTGAACCGGACCTGGATCTTGTGTTTGTTTAGAATTTTGGAAATCTTTTTTGTAACGCCTGCTATGTATGGTAACGTGATGATTTTGATTGGAGTATCAGGTGGTTGTTTCTGTATGGTGGGAGAAACAGCTGGCGGATGGTACGGTCAGAGTATCCGTTCATCTTGAGGGCCAGATGTACATGTTTTAATTCACTGGCCAGGTGGTGTTGGTCAGAAATGCAATGAGCCCTATGGTATAATGTTTTGATGAGAGAGTTATTTTGAGTCGGGTGGTGGTGGGAATCAGGCTTCAAGTAGGAGTCTTGCATCATGTATCCCCAGTGTTGTGCGGTCGGGGTCTGAGGTGTCGGAGGGGCCGATCCAGTGGGCCAGAGTAATCGGACGCCAAGGGATGTGTGTTGTTGCACCCCCAGTTGTGGATCCCTCGGGCTTGAGTGTAAGCCCTCTTGGCCATTGACGGCCACAAATCTGCCCGGGGAGAAGGACCGACGTCAAGAACTGGACATTTCGCTGACAGATCGCCGTGATGTTGTTGTTCTTGTGTTGTGGGCGTCCGTATGTTTGAAATGTCCGTGGCTTGACGGGATGATCGCGGGGTTTGTGTGCATGTGTTGTTCGGATTTTGGCGTTATTGGGGTGTTATTAGTTTGGTTGCTGTTGTCCGCATTGGGGTTCTAAGAATGTAAGTTGTTCTTTCAATCCTCAAACGATTGGTATACGTTGTGTTAAATGGGTGATTAAGCCTAGAAAGAAATTGTCTGAAACTGTGTTAGCTGAGGACAACTACTTTTTTTACGAGGGGGGGGGGGGTGATGTAATGACAGTGCGGAGCGATAGCGGGACAAAGTGGCTCCCCGGGTCCATGGTTATTAATGGTCGAGTTATTAATGAGACGGGAGGCAATGGCAGGGAAGGACGAGTTAATGAGGATTCATCAGCCAGGATCCAGTGGCGGGGAAGTGTTACTAATGGACTAGTTAATGAAGATTCATGAGACGGGATCCAATGGCGGGGAAGTGTTAGAAGAACGTGAGCGGCAGGGCCAGGTGCGGTGAGGAGGATTGAGGCTTAGGGTGTGGCCGGAGTGGGCGAGCATAAATAGCAGCGTGAGCGGAGGCTTGGGGCTGCTTGGTGTGGGGAACTGCCATCATCGTTACCTGGGATCGGGGCGTCTGCAAGTTGTCTGGAGCTTGGAAGCTAGATTGTCTCCGAGTAGGGTTGTGTTTCATCACCCGAATGTACGGAGTCACTCGTGTTACGTGTTGAGTTGTTATTGGACTTTATTCTTAATAAGTAGACGGAAGACAAGACAGCGTCTCTGAGAGCTACATGACACATGGATGCATTTTCGATGATACAAGATAGTTATATCGCATTAGTGTAATTTTGAAATTAATATACTGAGCATGATATGCGAATTACACAATGTAATTACTGCATAGTTACCTTGTAGTATTGTAAAATATATTTACAGAATTGTGTCAGCCATGAACTTCATGATTAATGACATTAATTATTTACAATACCGTATTACTTATTTTTCATACACTATACTCTACGTAAAAATGACCACACTGTATGGATGCAAATTTCGTACATTTTTATATTTAGGCCATAAGGGCTTACAAAATGTTGCTCACGAAAAATAAAACGAGAATTCATTGCATTGGTTTATAATCCCCTGGGTATTGTGAGTCTATATATACGTATCCTCATGTTCCTGTTTTTGAGAAGCCAACAGTCACAGCCTCCCTGCCCCCACAGCCATAGCCACACCCTTTGCATGGCTTCTGTGCTCTTTGTGTGACAGGAAACCTCTATGCACTAGACCGGCCAAGCTCGATTTTCACATGTCGAAAGGTGGATGCGTGAGGTTTGTTACTATTGCCAAAGGCTTGGTGTATTTGACGTGGGCAATAAGCATTCAGATTCCAATGCTGAGTTTTGTGAGGAGCGCAAACATAAATGATGACGTTGAACGTCGAATGCTTGTGTCCACGTGATAAGGTGCTATTGCACTGCAGAAAAGGCATTATGAACATCCGCATTGCAAAAGGTCTTTGCATACTTCACATACATGAACTAAACTTGAAAGGAACATATATGTTTGTCAACGTTTCAAAGAATTGCCCTGCCACCGCCACCTTGCTACAGTGAGGGAAAAAAGTATTTGATCCTCTGCTGATTTTGTACGTTTGCCCACTGACAAAGAAAGTATCAGTCTATAATTTTAATGGTAGGTTTATTTGAACAGTGAGAGACAGAATAACAACAACAAAATCCAGAACAACACATGTCAAAAATGTTCTAAATTGATTTGCATTTTAATGAGGGAAATAAGTATTTGACCCCTCTGCAAAACATGACTTAGTACTTGGTGGCAAAACCCTTGTTGGCAATCACAGAGGTCAGACGTTTCTTGTAGTTGGCCACTAGGTTTGCACACATCTCAGGAGGGATTTTGTCCCACTCCTCTTTGCAGATCTTCTCCAAGTCATTAAGGTTTCGAGGCTGACGTTTGGCAACTCGAACCTCCAGCTCCCTCCACAGATTTTCTATGGGATTAAGGTCTGGAGACTGGCTAGGCCACTCCAGGACCTTAATGTGGTTCTTCTTGAGCCACTCCTTTGTTGCCTTGGCCGTGTGTTTTGGGTCATTGTCATGCTGGAATACCCATCCACGACCCATTTTCAATGCCCTGGCTGAGGGAAGGAGGTTCTCACCCAAGATTTGACGGTACATGGCCCCTCCATTGTCCCTTTGATGCGGTGAAGTTGTCCTATCCCCTTAGGAGAAAAACACTCCCAAAGCATGTTTCCACCTCCGTGTTTGACAGTGGGGATGGTGTTCTTGGGGTCATAGGCAGCATTCCTCCTCCTCCAAACACGGCGAGTTGAGTTGATGCCAAAGAGCTCCATTTTGGTCTCATCTGACCACAACACTTTCACCCAGTTGTCCTCTGAATCATTCAGAGGTGCATTGGCAAACTTCAGACGGGCATGTATATGTGCTTTCTTAAGCAGGGGCACCTTGCGGGCGCTGCAGGATTTCAGTCCTTCACGGCGTAGTGTGTTACCAATTGTTTTCTTGGTGACTATGGTCCCAGCTGCCTTGAGATCGTTAACAAGATCGTCCCGTGTAGTTCTGTGCTGATTTCTCACCGTTCTCATGATCATTGCAACTCCACGAGGTGAGATCTTGCATGGAGCCCCAGGCCGAGGGAGATTGACAGTTATTTTGTGTTTCTTCCATTTGCGAATAATCGCACCAACTGTTGGCACCTTCTCACCAAGTTGCTTGGCAATATTCTTGTAGTCCATTCCAGCTTTGTGTAGGTCTACAATCTTGTCCCTGACATCCTTGGAGAGCTCTTTGGTCTTGGCCATGGTGGAGAGTTTGGAATCTGATTGATTGATTGCTTCTGTGGACAGGTGTCTTTTATACAGGTAACAAGCTGAGATTAGGAGCACTCCCTTTAAGAGTGTGCTCCTAATCTCAGCTCGTTACCTATATAAAAGACACCTGGGAGCCAGAAATCTTTCTGATTGAGAGGGGGTCAAATACTTATTTCCCTCATTAAAATGCAAATCAATTTATAACATTTTTGACATGCGTTTTTTTGGATTTTGTTGTTGTTATTCTGTCTCTCACTTTTCAAATAAATCTACCATTAAAATTATAGACTGATCATTTCTTTGTCAGTGGGCAAACGTACTAAATCAGCAGGGGATCAAATACTTTTTTCCCTCACTGTATACCGTACAGTATATGGATTTGAAATGTTATTTACACGCGGTATTTCTTGAAAATTGCAATGGAATGAAATAAATCCAAGTAAAAATGTGAGCGTTTGTGACGAAAAATGTATGTTTTAGTTAATTTTATTTTGTTTAACCAGGTGAGAACTCAACAGACAAGGATAGCCTAATTTTCAAGAGTGGCCTGGGTAACCAAAATTACCAAAACTAACATAAACACGAGCACAACAATGACGCAAATAATAATCGGAGCAGAGACAGAGCAAAGACAACTGCGTTATGGAAGAAATAATCAGAATAATAATCTTTCTTTATCCTGGAGAAACCCGATGAGCTATGAAAATGTTTTCACAGATGTCCAGTAATCACAGATGTCCAGTAGAACAAACAAAAAACAGGGCTAACAAAAATATATATTAGATTATGTAAATTTCCTATCGCGACGGTTTTCTCAAACAAATAATTTTTAACAACCATTCCATAGTAAAAATTAAGCTAGAAAAAGACAAGTTGCATACATTTGCATAAATCGTAAGTCGTATGTGCCCTGACCAAATATGTTTTTGTTTTTCTCAACAGATTAATACAGAGATGGATGAATCAGAAAATGAAATCTTGGAGGCATGTGAAGAAGGCGCCAATGAATTTGATCAAATGTTTGGTGATTTTCTTGGAGAGCTTGAAGAGCTCACTAAAGTAAGACCGTTTGTAAATTCACAGCATATATCAATTGTACGTAATGATTGTCCCGTTGGTTATTTTATAAATAAGCCAGTTGCACATTGGAAGGCTTTATTGTTACGTCATCATGAAAATGGCTGCCCAGTGGCCATATTTAAAATTATTCCTTCTATGATTGCTCGGGAAGTCATATACTGTCCGTGAATTCAATATATTATATATGAAGATAGCATATATGCTATCAATGCAGATAGCAATACATCTTAGAACTACAATGCCGAACTAAAATACTCAGTACTGTAGTTATGCTGGTGTGTTTTTTTTATGCCAAATTAATACAGCATATTACAGTGGGGGACACGCTACACAACTGCGGAATAGATTTCTGTATTTTTAAAATGACCAAGGTAATCTTAACATGTTAATTGCTTTCTCCACAGGACATTGACAGAGGAATTGCATCTGACACAACCATTAGCCAGCCTGCTGCCAAGCTCAATGATTGGCCCACCATTAACTTAGATGGTATGATTTCCACCAGATACATATTCAATATCGATATAAACATGTGTTAGCCAGATCTATGCATTAATCATCACATATTCTTTTAATATAAAAACGAATACGCATCATTACTGCAAAATAGTTATTTTTCTTTTAACTTTTTTGTTTATATCTTCCTTCCAATACAGGATAGCTACCATTAACTATGCACAGGGTGGAAAGCAGCACAATGTTTGTGTTAACACGCTTGTTCAAAAAAAAGTTTAATTACAATGGCAGTTAGGGTATAGATCACACATGTCAGCACATTATTATCTTGGTATACTAGGGGTACTACAAAAGTGACAAAGTGCCGTAATGCAATAGATAAATTACAGCAGTTGAAAACATAGTAGCTCAGAAAATGCTTCTCGCTTTCTAAATTAATATTGATGTCAAATGTCGCACAACTCTGATTTATATTATTGCAAATGCTTTAATATTTCCTGAAGTATATCTTTATCATCTATATATATAAAAGGGACATTTGTGAATGTGTCTTTTCGAAATGTTTAGCATACTTCCCGACATGCAACAAACTTGAAATTGGGCATGTGGGTAGCTTCCAGACTGTACACCATGCTAAAAGCATGAAAATAGACTGTTGTATAATGAGGGACGGGGGGGGGGGGGGCGCAATAATGGGTTTATTTTGCACGGCAAGTGAGCTGTGACGTAACATCTGTGATGTCACCCGCATGCGGCAGCGTCACGCAGTGTGCCTGCTGACGTCACGCATCCCCCCCCCAACCCCTCCGCATAGGCCTGTGTCTCCCGCACAAATGTGCGGCGTAGCTGTCTCGATTTTCGAAGTCAATGCGACTATTTTCAGCTCGCTCTTAAATATAAAGCAGAAAATACATCTGTTCGTGTGAAGCAGCAAAAACTCTCGAACGCTGAGCTCTGAAGTCATGAAATTTGCACAGCTTACGCTGTCTGGAATTTCTAAGGGAGCGCGACTATTTTCAGCTCGCCACGTCATTCCCTTACTGAGTTGCCTGAATCGACCTTACGGCTAAGTGGGTTAAGGTTGAATTTCCTTGAGTGAAAAACATCCGATTTAGGGAATATTAAATTTATCCTAGACAAGAATCCCAGTCCCCGGGCGAAGCCGGGTAGTAAAGCTAGTATTACATAAAACAAAATTGGACCCAGTTTAAACATTGCTGAACATTGCCACCGTGATAACAGCATCTCAAACTCTGACACGCAGACATGCTGAACGACAGCATGGGTCTGGACACCCTCATGGCAGACCTTTGCTCCATGGAGGAAGAGCTCAATCAGATGACCATGGGAGATGTTCTGAGCCACGAGCCTGCCGGCTGCCCAACTGTCACAGCCCAGCCACCTGCACAGTCACCTTCGCATCTATACGCACAGCTAGTCGCGAAGTCACCCCCAAAGCAGGAGCAGATGACTGCTGCACCCCTGAGCAAGGCCCTGACACCTGTGGCCCCTGGGTCAGGAAGACCACAGCCCAGCCACGAGCTGCCTTCCTCCACGATTCCTGAACCTCAACCTTCCACCCCGAAGCCCGAAGATGAGAATCTTACCGAGGTACAGTGCTTGTAGAGGCAGTGTGTTTGAGCATTACATCTTGACGTTTGCCAATCAGCCTACGCTTAGGGTAATAACAGATATTGCTTTATTTATTTAGTCTTATTATTATTGATTATCGAAGGTGAAGTATTCAGAGAACAATGCATCATGGATTAGTATACATTATTAAGCTCTGTGTTGACTTGGGACCCGTGTTGGTGGTGTGCCCTTGTAAATAACATATAGCAAACCAGCAGTATGTTTAACTGTCTATGCTGATGAGAGTGTGAAGATCAAAACTTATGGTTAAACATTTGGGAAAAAACGAGCAAAAAGACCCGAACATTTACCTTGGCTATTTAATGTGTTTGTCTATTTATAATCCCATATTTGTTCTGATAATGCATTATTACAATCATAGCTACTGACTGAAAATCACTTTAAAAATATGTTTAAAGATAAATACATGAATATATTGATTTATTAGTTTACAAAGGCAAGAGTATGAACTACAATAGTAAACAAAATAAAAACTGTACATGGGGTATGAGCTACTAGTTTTTGCTAAGTAGCAATATGATTTGTTGCTTTTAAGTGGGTGCATGAATCATTCAAAGTGTGGTTAAGGTCTAGTTGTTTCTCTGAAGAAAGCAATTCTGAAGCGATTGCTCAAATTGAGATAATGGTTATCATGGATCTTTGCCATGAAGGTGGCAGATGAGAGAACAAAGACTCGGTTATCCTTATATTTACAAAGTGTAAATGAAAGATTCAGATGATTTTTACATTTGCATTAACCGGTATCCTAAAAACCTGGTGATTACAGAATGTTCACAAGTATGATCTTCAGTTAAGTAGGATGCTTCTCAGTCTCCTGAAGAAGTGTACATTAAATTCACATAATTCAAGTTTAAATCTCAAATGTGCAATGTATAGTTAATAGAGCATACCACACACACACATTTTGAATAAAATTAGTACTTAAGGCTAGGAATCCAATTGTGTTTTATCATGTTAATTATAACTGCACAGATTTCTGAGTTATTTTAAGAGGGCCTTTGCAAAGCTCTATCGAGAGGCCACAGGTTCCTTTTGAAAGAATGTACCCACGAAGTCAGAGTGGCTTCTGACATTTGCAAGAAAATGATCAGAAACAAAGCTTCTCTCTACGTGTCCTTCATAGATCTCGCCAAAGCATTTGACCTGGTCAGAAGGAAGGGCCTTTCTTTAACACTAGAAAGGATTCAGTGCCAAAGAGCCCTAATCAGTTTGATTTGATCCAATCACGACAGACTGAGGGCCACAGGCCAGTATGACGGTGATCAATCTGTCAGTGTTGAAATCAGCAATGGAGTTGATCAAGGATATATATTGCACCAGCAACTCTTTGTAATATTGTTCTCCCCATTACTCAGCTATACATTTAATCCAGAACTGAGGATGTATGTTTATTGAACTTCGTTCGTACTGCACGTAGCCAACCATGCAAATCGGAGGTGCGGGGAAAGTACAACAAATTAAACACAAAAAAGCACTTCTAAAGAAATGAGTTTGCAATCTAGATTTTAAAATAGATCTCCGTATAAGATCTTACGGGAAACTTTCCAACATTTCTCATTCGTGCTGTAACTTCTTTATGCCGACGATGGCGTACTTGTTACACCACAGTGAAAATTAGTAGCAACAACGTTGCCTCAAACATTCTGCATTGTTCTGACGAGTTTGGACTCACCATCAACCTAGAAAAGACAGTGATCGTGACACAAGGCATGCTGACCCCTCCAAAAACATGTCAATAGCGAACACCACACGAGAAGTTGTACACAAGTTTTGCTACCTTGTGTCCACTATATTAGATAGCCTGCCTTAGGATTGTGAGCTTGATTCACAGTTTGGAAAAGCATCTGCTATTTTCAGCCTTTAATAATATTCAAATTTGAAACGCCACGATACAAGTCTTCGAGGTATGTGTTCGAAGTAACCTGCTGTACGGTGATGGGTGAGACGGGGACCACACACAGCAAACTCGAGAAAAGCCGAAACAGCTTTCACACCTGCTGTCTTCAACGTAGCACGTGGGAGGACAGAGATAGTTGTGGAGGTACTCACTTTCCAGTCTGAATTCTTGCTGAAACATAAACAACATCTCTGTGACTTCCCAGGTGCTTATTTTTGTAGTGAATTCTAAAAGGCATCGAGGCATGCCTCAAGACAAACTTAACAGCCTTCAATGTAGGTTTAGTGCAATCTGGAAAATAACAGCTCATGAAAGACTGAGCTGGAGATTCATGCCGAATGAAGGGGCCAAACTAGGAGAAAAAAAAGTGTTACAAATCTTGTGTGAAACAGCCCGGCCTTCCTCTGCTGCCGGGTTGTACCTGTACACTGCGAGCATGTAGTGTGGCAGGGGTTGCAGTTCAAGAATCGGTCTTTTAAGAAACTAACAACATTGCAAGGGGACCTATAGTTGAAGAACTTCATCGGCGCTGATGCAAATGTCTTACGAGATGGACGAATGTCATTGATTTACATTTTCCCTTTGTTTTGGTTTGAAGAAGAGATCGGGCTGTTGGCACATTTGTGTTGATGAAAAGTGTGTGTGTATGCATTCTAATACATTTGCCCTGTTCTCATATGATTACACATTCAAACATTGTGTAAACAGGCTGCTAATGGGATTATTTTTTTGCATTTTGATTTGCGATAGTTGAGGTTCCATCACGTCTGCTTAATCTACAGTGCGTTCTGTTTTTCGTAAAATTATAATGTATTTTGTTAGGAAGTCCCCCTTCGCGATTAAAATCATATTTTTACAGTGAAGGCATTCAGCCACAGACGCCGCACGGTAATGCTCCAGTGCAAAATAAGAGTAGCGTATGTGCAACGTGCATCACAGTTTTGTTTCGCATGCCGACATGCAGATTGTGGAATCAATATAAGTGACTATGATGGGTGGCGTGCATTTGATATTAAAAAATATTGGGGAACTGCTGTATCAGTATCCCAATTTTTTTTTTACGAGAAAATACATTATCCAAATTTGTCTCCGAACATTTTTCGAGCGACTTTTATTCGCATAATTAATTTAGATATGTATTACATGTAAACATATGGAAAATGTCATTATTTTAGAGTGATGAGTTGATGCGTTCATTGTTCCCCGATGAAATGCGTACCGAGTTTAGCTGTTCAACTTGACGCATGTCAATACACTGCTGTATGAGCCGCTTTCTCATGTGCACTTTGTTGTAAAACGGCTTCCCACAAATGTTTGTGCAAGTGAAGTTAAGCTTCCTGGATAGCGAAACCTCGTTGCTGTTGCATCAGATGGCCGGAAAACCTGCTCAGCTGCTCTCGGAGGTGACTTGAGTACAAGCCTGAAGAGCTCCTCTCCACTGATGCCCATTCCAGAACCTTGCTTGTGATCCTCATGTGCATGAAAGTGCAATGCATGTCGACTTGTTAGATAGGTGCCCAATTTGCTTAACATTTCAAAGGTGCATTGTATTAATGTGGATGTTGTTGTGTGACAAGTATAACATAGATTGTTTTGTTGTTCATCTGGTGATTAAGCAGGAAACTTCTTTTGGTGATACTAAGTCCGTTAAACACCATCACTGCTCAAAAAATGCTTAGTTCAAGACTTGTTCTAGCAGATAAAAAGCCCTTGGCACAAGTATGCATTATCAACCAAAATTATAAACATTCGTTGGCAAATATGCTAAGATCTCTAAAATTATGCTTACAGACAGACTATACCTGCTTAATGACACCAGTACTACTGGCATCATGTGCATGCAGCAAATATTAACCCATTACTGACAGTCCTAACAAGAGATTCATATCATCCAGCATGAAATGCAGCCTGTTTCATCAGGAGTCCTGCAGGCTTGCATGTACGATTTGCAAGAACACAATTTCATGCTTAGAAAACATGTTCCAAATGCATCATTATCAAGATAGGGTTGAAAGTCTTGCATGCATGCAAGCTAATATTATTTGACACACTCATCAACCACTGTAGAATAACAATGATATGATACATACAGGAATAAATACACTGTATTAATACGTGTATGGTTGGGTGGGAGCAGTAGTGCAGTTATTAGCACAGTGTGCTACAAATTAGGTGACCCGGGTTCAATTGCCACTCATGGCCAACATCACTGACGAATATCTGAAGCAGTCCTGGGCCCCCCTCTACTAGGTCGACTCAACCTTAAATGGATACCTTGTGTGTTATGTAAAAACATCAGCACTGAAGAGGCAAAGGCAGCCGGACGTGGTCTTAACCATGATAGGTGCCCACTAATGGCACTTTCCCCAACAGGCTGTGTTGGCTATTTGGGGGATCTTTGTCTTTGTTGTTGGCAGGAGCACCTAATGAGGGAGTTGCATGTTGTCTGTTTGTAGGAGGAGAAGGCAGCAAGAATAAAAGCTGAAAAGATCCGTATTGCTTTACAGAAGATGAAGGAGGCACAAGTTAGGAAGGTGAGTTATACAGTGTTCGCTATTTAAGCCAATTAAACAACGAATAAATACAAGTTATTTATGGTGGAGCTTTCATTGAAATAGTTACATTTTCACCAGTTTGAAAACAATGCAAACGGTGTAATCAAAGTTCACAAAAAGAGTATCAATTCAACATTTGAAATATAACTTTGGTTGAAAAAATCTGAAGTGCAAATTTAAGGTTACGAACAGACCATTATAATAATTTACTCTAGTGCATATACTTTACGCTGTGAAGCCAGATTAGCAAGTCCCCCTATATCTGGCACATGATATAGTGACTCGTTAAACCGTTGGATGACATTGAAGCTTAAGTATAAAACATTGTCTTCAAAATTGCAAATGAAACTGAAAAATGCCACGTAAAACGGATAAAAGTGCATTCCAAAATTATACAAATTTAGCGAATATATGTTAACACAAAAGTGAAATTTTAATGTCAGTAAGAAACCCATTTTCGTAAAAGAAAATTAACATTTTAACAGCGCAGCATGCAAATGAAATGTGAGCCATGCGATCCGCGTGCGTTACTCGTGCAGACGCGGAGACGCGTGTTCCTGCCTGCTGAGCAAAAACAAATGCAATCCATTATCCATTTTTTTTTATAAAGGCAAATCCCACCCCACACTGCCGCCTTTTACATAAAAAATATATATCAATGAATAAATATTGGTTGGGACCAATATATGTTTTTGTTAATTCCACTTGCCCACGATATATTTTTTTTATTCCTGGTATTCTCATGTCTGCCCATATGCTGCAATAACCTTGCCGTATGTCTTGAGTAAATGTTTGTTGAACAAATGTATTGAAGGGAAACGTCATGTGTTCCACCTTGCCGGTTTACCTTATATCACTGCCAATCATTCTCACGATTGTCCATGTAAAACAGGGGATAATGCCACGGGTGTAATGTATAGCACGCTGGACTTGCAATACAGGTGTTGCTGGTGTGAGCTTATCTCCCGGCTTGGCAGTTGCAACAATGGGCAAGCTTCTTAATGTATTCCTTCTTCAGTTGCCAATGAATCATAAGCCTACTCATAATAGATACAATCCAGGCACAATGGTACTTGATATTAATTTGTATTTTCTAGGACTTGATGGGTAGTGCGTAGACGCCTTTCCTAAATTTAGCTTGCTCACGTGGTTGGTTGTGATAAGAGCTTGATGTGTTTGTTGTTCCTCAAATCGGTTTTATCATCATCGTTGAATACAAGAATGATTGAGGCATCATTCCACGATTGTGGTATTCAATTTCTGTGTAAACATTTGGTAAATAGGCCTTCTAATTTTGTTTCAAAAGCTGATCTTGTTACTTTGATAATTATCACAGATATTACATTTCGGTCCAGGAGATTTCCCTTGTTTCATACTGTGAAAAACAGTGGTTACTTCTTAAGGTGCAATATCTGGATTGTTATCCTCCGCATCTGAGCAATCAATGCTTACCTGTCGAATTTAAATTATCTTTAGAGATCTGAATGAAATTTCTCCACGAGCTTACTAATTATGTGTATATCATGTGCTATGGTTCTATTTGGTCTCTTAGAGCTACAACTCTTCTATAGCATACGTGTATTTTTATTTTATTTTTGTGTGCTTTTATGCATGTCTAAATATATCAAGTGCTAGTGTTTTGACGTACCTGTTGAAATTAATTGGATGCACCTGTGTATCCATGCATGTCTGTGTGTGTAGCTGGGGAGTGGGGAGCGATAGTGTAGTGGTTAGCGCGCTGTGCTATGAACCTGGCGACTCGGGTTCGATTCCTGCTCACGGCCAACACCAGTGACGATTATCTGAACCGGTCCCGGGCCTCCCCTAGGTCGACTCAGCCTCAAATGAGTACCTAGTGCGGTGTGTAAACATTACCACTAGGGAGACAAAGGCGGTCGAGGCGTGGCGCTGGCCACCCACCCCCTCATGTACCGATCTGGCCTTCAAAGGTGCTCGCTAACAGCACTTGCCCCTACAGTCTGTTAAGGCTATACAGGGGATCTTTTTCTTTGTGTAGCTGGGGAGTTGTGGTCCAGTTAACCTGGCAACGTGGTTTTAATTCCAGGCCATGGATACCATTAGTGGCAAGTGGTATTTGGACCTCTCGTGAGCTTTTCTCTAACTTGAGTACCAGGTTCAGAATGTAATAATCAATTAATGGTTCCCAGCCATAGGTAGTAATGGTTACACTATCCCTTCACGTCCCATGCTGGTTTCAATATCACTTGCCCCAACAGTCAATATTGATGAGTAGGAGATCTCCATCCTTTTGTTGGCAGTTGGTGATCCGAATCGGCCTTGTGGACAAGAGTTCCAAGAACCTGATGGTGGAGGAGCAGCAGTCAGTGCGTGAGGTGATGGACAACCTCCGCGAAAAGACACACAGCACCAACAGCCCAGACTGGTGCCTGGTGGAGACCAACCCTGATCTCGACATGGGTATGGACAGCCGAGGGTTCACAGAACATACACATTATGGAACTGGAGTTGGACAGTGCTCAGGAGAGTTGAAATGTGCCATGCCTTGAGATGCCACATCACATGTGGAGAATATAATAAACTTCTACATGACTTGAGGTGCTAGATGGCCTCAACACAGTATAAATTTTCATCCCAGAAAATGCATTGGCCTTATTGCCGCGTGAGGTTTATCAATGCAGTATAACGTACAAACATATGAATTACATTGTTCGTTCCATGATTTTGACATGTCAATTACAACCATATTTATATGTCAAGGTAAGAGAGAAAGGCACCGCCCTGCAATTGGTCGATCACGCCACTGATGGTGGAAGGGCCTCCAATTAGACAAAGCTCTCGAGTGCCTGGCTAGAGGTTGTTTGGGCTACTCTTCCACACTGGCCAGAGGTGGGAGTATCCACACTTTTCTCCACCACACTGATCACTTAATTGTGGTTGAACCCAGTTATACTACTGGGTGGGCAAATAGGTGAAGGTATTGTAGAATCTTTCCACATTCCTTCAACTACTACACGATGAGATCCCATCAATTTAGCGACCTCTGGACTGAAAGTCCAGTGTACTCATAATTACACCGCGGCAGCAACCCTTATTGTTATGTATGATTGCAGAAAGCCTTTCTGCATGGTGTGGCAAAGCATAGCTTTAACGAGGCCCATTGGATTGTCTTCACAAGAGAGCTCTCTAAATGCATTTTTTTCACTTGTCTACACAAATGTAAGGAAACGAGTAATGCTCTCTTTACAGCGAAATCTCAAGGGCACAAACTCTCTGAAAATCATTTAAGTTTTTTTTTTTAGCTGTGATTTAGCAGCACGGCTGTAATTAGGCTAGAGTGGAAGTACATTGAATAACAAAGCTTGCTGACTTTTACCTCCATTAGATCAATACACAAAGTGCTTGCCACAAATGAAGCACAATACTTTGCTGATCTTGTCAAGGAGCATACATCATCATGCAAACACCATTCATCTTCGCAGTGGCTTTTCGGTAGCCATCAAACAAAAACGGTCACTGCATCGCGCATTTTCATGATGCTCTTCTGCAGCCGTCTGGAACGTTCTTCCTTCCGATATTAGGAAGACACTAGAGCTATGCACTTTTAAATCTAGATTGAAAACTCATTTCTTTAGAACTGATTTTTGTGTTTAGTTTGTTGTCCTTCCCCTGCACATCTGATTAGCATGGTTGGCTAAATACAGTGCAAAAGAAGTTCAACATACATTCAAACAAGTAATTGTAGCTCTGTGTTGCCTAACCCGGGCCCACTTAACGTGAGCATGTACTTTAAAGACCACAACACATCTTCTCAAAGCGGTAGCAAATGAGTCATTCGCACACTTAATGGTTTGTGTGATGTGAACAAATACACCCGATTTCTGTGAGTTACGGTCCGATAACATTGCAATGTTATTTGCTTTAAAAAAATAGAACGTGGAAGTACTTCAAAATACAGTTTGTCAGTTGCATGACATGTTTTCTATTAAACAATAACTGGCAAGATGTGCACCATTTTTTATAGGCATAATATACATGAACTAGCTTTTTTTGTCCGTACAAGGACGAGTGTATATTGCAGTAAATCTGAAATGTTCAATAGAAAAATTGTTCAGCTCATGATTATTAATGAGGGAGGGGTTGCCCCATGTGGAGTGACGTCACCCGCTAATGGTTATTGGGGAGGGTTGCAGCATGTGGAGTGACGTCACCCCCTCATGGTTATTGTGGAGGGGTGCGGCATGTGGAGTGACGTCACCCGCTAATGGTTATTGGGGAGGGGTGCGGCATGTGCAGTGACGTCACCCCCTTATGGTTATTGTGGAGGGGTGCGGCATGTGGAGTGACGTCACCCGCTCATAATTATTAATGAGGGGAGGGGTACGGCATGTGGAGTGCGCGACCTTCTTGTGCGTTAGTGGAAATTTCCACGCGTGCATGAATATTAATGAAGGTGGGGGAGGCCTCTTTTGCAGTGATGTAATGCACGGATGTAGCACTGTGCTGCATAGATTTATTTTTTACCGTCACTTTCTGGAAAAGAAATGTCATATTTTAAGCGACTTTGCATAATCAATTATTTAATTCAGCTCGACCTTCCTCTGCGTTAGTGTAAAAACCCACCCACTCATGAATATTAATTATGGGGGGGGGCTCATGTGGAGTGACGTCACGCAGGGGGGGGGGGCTCATGTGGAGTGACGTCACGCGCGGGACGGACAGACATTTCTGGGTGATTATAGGATTATAGTAGGTAATGATTTAAATCGTGGTTATTATTTCATGCGAAGCAAAGCATTTCTCAGAGGAACTAATTACACGGTCTGCACTTACTGCACTGATGCACAACACGTCGATCACCAACAACAGGATAAGCCAATTGCTCAAAGTGTCTGAGACAGGAACACATCGCATTCCAATGTACTCAACGCCATCATCACAATCTACCCTCCAAAGAGAACTCTCAACACAGCCTATGTGTGTTTGATTGTGCGGAAACCCAAAATGGTCATGTTAGGCTGTATTGAGCTAATCAAACCAAGTGCCATCATATTATTAAATATATTGATGCCGAACGTGGCCAACAGATATGTTACTCATGCACTGGTGCACAGCTACTATTCAATTACCCATGTGGAAGCTGTTGCTTTTGGATACTTTACTGGAGATGAGTGGAGTGCGAGGTCAGCTGGGAAATCCAGAGTCATGCTCATGTGGTGAGCGACTGTATAATGACATTTTCCCAAAAGGGAATGACTTTTACCTTCACAACGTCAGTTTATATCACCTGCCTGACATTTACTTTGGTACACATTTCAAGAACACTGTACCATTTTCCGAAGTTATTGAATGGCATGTGTAATTTACTACAGTAGTTGGTCGGGTTTTCAAAATGACTGGCAGAGATAAGATATTGGCATTCAAAATGTATTGCTACAGAACGATATCACATCTAAGCTGGACCCAAAGAGTGGCCAACGTAGAAGTAAGAAAAAGGTTGCACATAGAAGAAGACAACCTGATGATGCAAGCAGTGGTGAGAAGGAATTTGGCACTATTTGGACACATATGTAGGATGGAAAACAACAGCAAAATTGTAAGTGTGTTGTGGGGAAAAATGGAAGGAACCGGAAAGAGAGGAAGACCTAACAGAGAATGGTTTGATGACGACATGAGAGATTGGTGCCAGAAAGCTGTGGCACTACTTGAGCATATTGGCACAAGAAAGGGGAAAGTGGAAACAAATTACTAAATGTGTAGTGGACACCTACAGGCTCCCTGCCCATGGATCGTGATGACGATAACGAGCCAACGTTTAACGATGAATTCACGCGTTATTACAAGCAGCCAATTCAATGACACTGTGCAGTTGTTAATAAGAATTATGAATCAAGTTGACACAGTGGGTTTCACAGCAAGTTGTTTCTAGGTACTTTGCAAACATATATGTACAAACACTTTAAATCGGCAACTTTTAGGAAAACAAAAAGTCTTAGAAACATTTCTAAAATGGAGATCATGTGCAAGACAAAAAAGGCAATCCTAAATAAGATAATACACGTAATACTGGAAAAATAAGTCTTAACTCGTGATTTTAAAACATTTACTGACACCCAAGTTCCTGGTTAAGGGAGTAAGGTCCATAGTTTAGTGTGTGTTCTGAAGTTAACGAAGTTAATTCTGCCAGTTAATTCTGGCAAATCGCCTGTGAAGCTGGTTGAAATCACCAGCGAAACTTCATACTCAAATTGATGATGTGGGTTTACTCAACACACCGGTGTGCTAAAATAGCAACTACTTGGCACGTTATGTTTACGTGACAAACCTTACTAATTGGCTGTGTCCGGTGGTGGTGGGTTAACGACACATTTATATTGATGCGATCTTAGCCAAAAAAAAATAGTGAATAATATTGGCCGTGAAAGCCGAAGTGTTAAACCGAGTGTGTTTGTGTGACGTGGCTTTTCAGAGCGGTTCTACGAAGACCACGAGAACCTGGTGCAGAACCTGGTGACGTGGACCCGCGATACACAGAACGGGCTGACCTTCGTGGAGCGCAGGGAAAAGAACGCTCTCTTTAAAAACCCACAGGTGCACCAGCATGGCCTGCTCTTTGAATATCTGTTTTTAGTTTGTTGTCCTTTAGAGCGGTTGGTTTCGTACGGTGCGTAAATAAGTTGACCATACGTACATTGCTACTGTAGATAATCGTCGTAAAAATGGAACACGCTTTCAAGGAAATGTTGTACAACTGTTGTTTTAGATTTAGTATAATATGACCCTCTGTCATATAATTTTTACATTCTAAAGTCTTACCTTTAAGGCTCATTTGGGCTTCATTAAAATGTGTTTAAATTATGACAACCCTCTTGAGATTTACAGTTAACGGAACTGAAAAAGAAAACACTAGTGAACTGCGTGCGATTTTTCTGAATTCCCGAATACCTTAAAGAGGTTCTATGAACTGTACATCGGTTACCACAGCCTAAACCACATCTCTGAATACTTGTCGAGCTATCATTTGTGACCAGGTCGCTTCTGAAAAAAAGCTATATATTTCAGTGGGCCTTACCTGGTAAAATAAAAATTGTTTATAGTTTAGTTTAAACACACATTCCAAACACAGAATGGCCAAGATGCTATGACATCTGTTCAATACGTTTTCTATCAATTGTTTACGCTTTTCAGAATTATCTGCTGGGAAACAAGGAAGCTAAGGATGTGAAGGACAGGGATAAGGAATCACTCCTGGAGGTTTGTATTGAATGGCTGCAACCTGCATGGACCATTATGTACACCTTGACATTTGTGGCACGTAATAATAATTACCAACGAAAATCATAATTAACTATTTCAGGAGTTTTATTTTTTTATTTAAAGCTTTCGTGACTGCAGGGATTCATACTCTTGGTTTTTTCAGTAAAGTCACGCAGAAGGGAAACAATAAAAGAATAAAAATATAAAAAAATAAAATTCTCACGACGTTTCGACTGCAACACAAGCAATCATCATCAGGTGTGGTTTTCACACCTGATGATGATTGCTTGTGTTGCACACCTGATGATGATTGCTTGTGTTGCAGTCGAAACGTCGTGAGAATTTTATTGTTTTATATTTTTATTATTTTATTATTTCAGGAGTGTCTTGCATTGGATTGTTTGACCAGAGAAGTCAGATAAAACCCACATTAGTGGGGTGACACCAAGCACTGCCATGCCTCTAAAACACCTGGCAAACTCTGGTGCTCATCCATCCAAGTACCAACCAGTCTGAACCCTGCCTATCTTTTGAGATCCAACAAGGTCAATTGCATTTATGGTGATTTGGTCACGGAAAATTCACTACATCATGGTTCAACACACGTGTTGATGGTGTGTTCAGCACTACACCCAGCTGCGTAATACCGAGCACGGGGCCACAAGTGGACGATTATGTGCTTATTGTAGCCTGCATTGACTTAGGGGACGCCCACCAAGTGCACGGGTCAGTAGGAATTGTTGGATATTTAAGAGGCTGCTCCTGTGCAGTGATCTCTCGTCACTGGGATTAAAGTTAGGAACTCGAGAAGAATGTCAGGACTGCATATCTGCGAACTGCATTTATGCAACGTACTTGTAATATTTACATTGATTATTAATGAATGCTTTAAAAGCTGACAAGTAGCAAACACAGTGTTCTTTCATTTAGACATTTAATCTCTCCATGAATTCCACTGTAGCTGTGCATATTAATTCAGGGTTATTATTATTATTATCCATCAGTGAACCACCATGAAAGAGGTTGTGGGAAAGAGTTCCAGAAAGCATAGCAGCTTCCATTAAATTGTGATTTTAGAATGTTGTAATTCATTTCAACTATCATGTCCCATACTCTTTGGTTCTTTTGGTAAAGTTACATAGGTAAAAATAAAAAGAAAGTTACCTACGTGACTTTACCGAAAGAACCAAAGAGTATGGATCATTGCAGTCACGAAAACTTCAAATCTAGAAATATCATGTCCCAGTTTATATCATTAATCCAAAGTTTAAAGATAAACTTGCATTGATCGATGAGTCATTTTAGGAAAGGTTCAGCCAATGTTAGAGTATATATGCCTCCCTTGCAAAATAGATATGACTTCTTATTGCTTGTTCTATAACTAATAAAACGAAACTAATTTATACATTGTATTTGCTATATTGACCAAAACATAAAAATACGCGTTTTTTCCCCCCATCAACTTAACTACGAAGAGAAATTTCCAGTTAAGATTATGTATGTACTCACCACCACAGAATGGTAATTGTTTTTTAGGAACGTGAGTTTAATAAGTTCCCACGTGAAGAAGCAATTGTATGATTGCGAACAGCACCAGGTCATCCCTCTCACACCTTGCCTCACCTCCGGTCCTTCTGCTCCCTCTCTTCCTACCTCCCTGCTCGTGCTGCCAATGGGCAGGAATGTTTCTGTGGGACCTCAGTGGCTGTACCTGAGCTGGAAGGAGAGCTTTTCCTCAAGGAAGATGGCAAAAAGTCATGGAAGCGGCGCTACTTTCTGCTTCGAGCCTCTGGAATCTACTTTGTGCCCAAGGGCAAGACCAAGGTGAGTGGGCCCCATGGTGCTGTGATGCGACATAATGCCCTGTGAACGATGACAGTTCGGCTAACTGGCTTTTACGGTAGCTGTATGAAATCTGTAAACAAAAAATTTTGCTCCTTGTTTTGCTTTTATTTTCTTCCATATGAACACATTTCCATGTTTTTATTCTAGCAGTGCAAATACAATATATATATACATAAAATGACCCCCAGATGACGGAATTGAACTGCCATGCCTTCACATTTCCTTGACACTGTCTGCATACTTGTAAGGCACACCATTCAAACAACGTTTGTCGCATTCGATCAAACTGAAACGTTTAATTCTCAGGAACTGAAATAAGCTAAAATTAAATAACAAAGCCCAGTAGGAGAGATTTTTTGAGCTATCATTAGTAACAGGGCTGGTACCGTCAAATGAATACAATACACTTGAGCACACTGGTGTGCTCATAGATGGCTGCCCAGATTCAAACACAGGATCTCAGCTGTGTGAGATCAGTCATAGGCCATGGTATTACCACTCTTGGACTACCTGCCCACCCTCTTCTATGTCATCAATTATTACACATTTCCACGCAATGATACATGCAGATTGTAGTATTAAAGTTAAGGATGTGTCGTGGGTAATAAACTGGAGGAAGCTTACTCTGAGGCAACACGTTTATTACAACACCAACAGACTACAACACAAAAGGGTAACGGCCCCTTTCACTCGATACTCTATGGAGGGGAGTCCCTCCAGGCTAGCTCGCCTCTTACTGGCTATCACTACGCCTACACTGCTGGGGCTTGAGTCTTCTCTTGAGTCTTCACTGGTTATAAGTTGGAGCTCTCACTGGTACGAGCTCGAGCCGACCCTAGCCAGGGGTTTCGGCTCTGCTCATTGAACTCTTCTCTTCAGGGCTCTAAGTCAGGGTCTTCGGCCGCACGATGACTGCCGGGACCGCTCAGGGACCTGGCTTATATACAGGGTCCCGGCTCACTCCGGCCCTAGCCACGCCTTCCTTCCAGGACCTTCTCCAAGGGCCAGGAGAATGACATCAATCCCCCAGCCCCCTTCCTGGGGTCTGGGGTCCCGACCGTTGGTCACCATGCTCCCCCCAGGGATTGCCTCGGGCCAATGGCCCGTCAACATTATCTCACAGTTTCAGCCTCCCTTCCGCTCCCTACTGGCACAAGCTAGTACTGCCGGCTATAGGTAGTTGCGATCATGTTCAACCATGCCACGACTACCTATGTACTCTCCTGACTACCCTAAAAATCAACAGACATAACCATACTGCGTACGAGCTTTTAATTATATAAATTGCTACTTACAACCAAACATGCCCTTTCGTAGAGTCTGTTATGCACAATGATGTTCAAAGGTTAGTTATTCTCATACTGTGTTGGTTGATCCGTGACGTCTTTCCTTTGTGTTTTTTTAATACTTTTTTTGAAAAAGCCTTCATTAGTTAAAAATACAGCACTGCATACTGCATGTAATACAGCATATGCAACCTTTTGAATGTCACATATCACAATGTATGTTGTCAGACCCTGCGGGACCTCACCTGCTTCATCCAGTTTGAGAATCTCAATGTGTACTACTGCCTGGACTACAAGAACAAGTACAAAGCACCAACAGACTGTTGCTTCGCGCTGAAGGTACTTACCAGAATGTGATAATTCACAGTGAATGGCAATCCGTATTGAGAGTAAGATATAAGGAATGTAATAGGGTACAGTATTCCTATATGTTCAAAGTACACGTGGGAGCTACAGAATCGTTATTAATATTGATGAATTTCACGTTTAATCTTTGCGCTTATGACTTGTAAAGAACAGCACTCCAAAGTGAGGTGCATATTGATTGGCATATTGTCTAAATGAATAGACACTATGATTAAATGAGTTACATATTTCTTTGAAACCGCACTTTTTTCTAAGAACCTCTACATATCACAATCACATAGGCTGAATGAACACATTCTGCTAAATTTAAACCTTTTTTTTCTTTGAAATATGCAAATCTTATGGTATTATGAGGAACATTTCTCATTTTTACATCATACGCGATAATTCTCCCCAGCACCCTCAGATTCAGAAGAAGTCGCAGTATATCAAGTACCTGTGTTGCGATGATGCACGAAGCCTTCATCAGTGGGTCACTGGCATCCGCATTGCCAAGGTACCATCCCCACACTTTGTTGTGACGCTCAGAATTAACATAAGGATGTTTGTTAAACTTATTTCGCACCGTACATAGCCAACCGTGCTAATCGGAGGTATGGGGGAAGGACAATAAACTAAACACAAAAAGCTCTTATAAAAAAATGAGTTTTCAATCTAGATTTAAAAGTGCATAGCTCCAGTGGCTTCCTAAGATCGGAGAGAAGAGCTTTCCAGACGGCCGCAGAAGCACATTTAAAAGTGTGCGATGCGATAAACGTCTTTGTTCGATGCCTGGCCAAAACCTGCTTCAAGGATGACCAGAGTTCGCGTGATGGTTTATGCTCCTAAACGTTTCAGTTTGATTAATAAAAGAAGTGAAATGTGGCTCGATGGTGAAGAGCGAGAATGCTCAATAACTTTGTAGCAAAGCAACACAAATTAACTGCTGCTCAGCAAGACATTTTAGCACCGACATACCCCTTTAATCATAAATAAATATTAACATTAGCTATCCATTTGTTCATATAATAACTTCATACAAAATAAATGCTGTCTTCAATTATTAAAGTGCTATTAAATGCATAGAATAGGACGTTTTTCAACCTTTTTTTCATTAAAAAAACATCCTCTGTTGATACTTTTCCAAACACTTGCTGTACTTATTGAATACCTCCTATTAGAACGGTAGGCTACATACGGTGCGAAAGAAGTTCAACATACAATACAATTCAGCAGTTAAATACTGGAAGCAGAAGTTAGTTAATTTTCTTTTGAAAGTGGTTAAGGAGCTGTTCCGTCATCCTCTTCTCATACAGTATGGCAAGTATCTCTATGACAACTTCAAGGAGGCGAGCAGGAAGGCAGGCGAGGGCTGGCCCACCCTGGCCAACTTGGTTGTCAAAACACCAGAGCCTACACCAGGTACGGACAATCCAGTTAAGTCACAGCAAGGCACAAAGCCACAGCAGGACACATAATCAATAGCACGCAACAACGAAAACTCAGGCTTAGTTCAGATGAGTGTGCCTAAATATCCATGAACGTGCCCCATCTTCATCATTAGACCTCTTTTTCCAGTACCAAAATGTAATAATAGGGTTTTTCCCCTTTTTTCTGGCAACAAAACTGAAACCTTTTTACAAGGATTCATGTCTGCATTAACCACAATACCTGCAGTCAAAATGCAAACAAAAAAAGGTTTCAGTTTTGTTGCCAGAAAAAAGGGGAAAACCCCTATTATGTGCCCCATCTTGTCAGATGTTAAAAGCCACACAGTGTCGAACTCGGTTCATGGATGGAAGATTGTCTGGGAATATCGGCAGTAGAGCAATGTAATATGAAATCCATCTATGCGAAGGTTTGAGTGTTACTCTCTCATATTTGTGGGTTTTCTGTGGGTATCCTGCTTCCTCCCCCATATCAAACACAATTGGCTTATCATCCCAATGCAGGACCCTCCTGAAAAAAGGGTCACAAGGCTCAGTGAAGCTTTCCTTGGTCAAAACAGTCAAACTTACAAAGCCATAGACTTCGTTTTAGGTCATTTGGTATTACCTGTAGTGGCAGAGTTATATTTGAACCCAGGAAGGTGCCCCCATGTGTTTTATAAGCCAGGGTACTACCCCCTGTTAAAGGGGACAATTTGCAATTCATTCACCAATTAAAAAGTCCAGAATGGCAAGTAAATACGACGAAAGTAAAGACTACATAAGTAAAAACAATTCAGTGATTCACTTCGTCATGATTATGTGAGTTTGATTCCCGCGCTCAAATGCGATCTTTGGTAGATGATATCTGAATTGGTCATGGCAATCTCCAGTACCAACCCACCTTGATCAGTGTGGGGAATTATGGTCAAAAGAGTCAATACAGCTGGCATGGGACGTGGAGGCCTTAATCCAGCAATAGAATGAAAAAGGGGATGAAAATTATTGTTATCATTTGTTTAAGTCAAGTAATTAGCTTTTAGGTTGTGGAGTCATGCACTCTGCATCTTGATACCGACCCACCATCCCCCAGTCTCACGTCTCGGCTAGGCAATCTCAAGTCAGGAACGGGCACAATGCTCTTCTTAAGTAAATGATACAATCAAAAGAACATCTCATAAAATATGCAATTGCAATCTGGAACATTTTTGGAATCAGTCAATTCATGACTCTGAAACGGTTCTCCAATATATTGAGTTCAATGGAAAAAAAACTACGTTTGGTTTTATACAGAATGAAATTAAAACAAAAACGTCTCAATGCTGCTGTTGATGATGAAAGGCACTGTGAGTTTGTAGCTGGGGAATATATTCTTGCAATGTCGACATTTATTGCAATAAAGCCACATTGAGTTTTATTTTCAATAGGTGGCAGTATATACCAGTGTATACCAAAAATAAGACCCAAAATGTATCAGATTTCGGGGGCATTCTCCTTAACAATGTGTTGGATATTGACATACGAACATAGAGTGTATAAATTTTTATCATATCACTATACTTCAATGGTTTGATCAATTCATTATACAAGCATACTAAAATGGTAACACATCCCATTGTAGTTTCAAAGCAGTGCTGTCCACATTCTAATTTACACAGAGATGAGTGGCTTCTTTTAAACCAAATTTTCACAATGAAGACACAGCATAGATGAGAGTAGCCAGTTGATTTTTCAATGATTTTTAGCATGATAAGAATGTGTGCCTGAGAGCTGAATACTACATTTTCAGAGGAAGTTTCATATTCCATTTTCAAATATTTAACGGTAATCTTTCAAGGCTCAGAGTGGCTGAGACAAGGAAGTGGTACATTCTGCAACAACATTGGGCTGCATTAAAATCCGTTGCTTTTTGAAAGCTGAATACATTAAATGTGTCTCAGTCTTGTAAAGGAAACATAACTGGACAATATCCAATTATTAAACTGAACCAATTACCTACGGCCACTGGCTAGAATCTAAACAGTATAATTTGATTAGCAGTGGATGTGAACCATCACCTTGACGTGGTGGAGGGGCTTGCATGCTCCGATGAACCTCAGCGCTATGTGGTTGGGAGTTCCATACTCCTAGTAGGGTCACCCATGACGAACGAGGGGAGGTTTCAGACTAAGAATGGTTCATACCGAAGAAGGAAATGGAAAACCACTTCTGGTATATTTGCCAAGAAAATATTCACGACCAGAAATTTAAGGATAGCTGCGCTGGTGCTGGACAGTGGGCCCCCAGGAAAGAAAGCATCCACATAACTACTGGAGAAGAACGAAGAACTCTGACAAGTAGAGCTACCTGTAATAATGCTACCACAGGAAAGCCGAAATTAACTGCGGATGCTGAAGTCTATAGCACCGAAAGCCAAGCTGAAGGGGACCTGCAAAGATATCCTAGGTGTCAGTGAGCTAAGATGGACAGGAATGGGGCACTTTAATTCGGACGACTGTAAGATTCTATACTCAGGCCATGAATCGTACAAGAGGAATTGAGTAGCCATTAAAAGTCTAACTCTGTAGGTTACAACCCGGATAATGATGGCATTGTCTTAGTACGTTTCTGATCCATACCAGTTAACATCACCATTGTGCAGGTCTACGCACCCACCTCAATGTCTGAGGCAGCTTACATTGATTATTTTTTATGGGAAACTTCAAGAAACAATTGACAGCACACCAAAAGGCCACACATTAGTTGTCATGGGAGATTGGAATGCAAAAATAAGTGACATGCGGACAACTTGGATAACTGGACAACATGGCCTTGAAGAAACTAATGATGCTGGGGTCATTTTATATATTTTTTTGTGCTGCCAATGACCTAGTCATTACAAATTCTCTTTTTAAGAAGAAGAATTGGAGAGAATACACAGAGACACTGTTTAAGCTAGATGAAAGCATTAACAAAAAAATTATGCAGGAGAGTATGAACAATAACCTTCTGTGATTGAGTGTAAGGTACACAAAAGACCATGAAAGAGCTTACGAACAACAAAGCTCCAGGAGGAGAAGGCATACCCATTGATCTCATCAAGGGATCAGGAGATGAGGCTATTACTCAGTTTTGAGCCAACAGATTTGGTCGAGTGGTGAGTGGCTCAGAGACTGGAAGCGTTCAGTATGTATATATATACCTATGCATAAGGTGACCCCAGAGAATGCTCCAGCAACCGTACTATAGCTCTCATATCCCATACCAGCAAGCTTTTGCTGAAGATTATTCAACATAGAATGGACATATATGTAGAAAAATAACTACCAGATGGTCAAGCAGGCTTCAGGAAAAGAAGAGCAACAAGGGACTAAAATTGCGAACATCAGACGGATAATGGAAAGCTCAAACGAATAGAGGCAACAGCTGTACCTCTCCTTCAATGACTACAGCAAAGATTTTGATTGTGTGGACCATGAACTGATGTGGATTACAATGAAGGAAATGGGAATCCCACTAACCTTGTATGCCTGTTACATAATCTATATGCCAATCAAAAAGTAACGGTTAAACCAGTATAGGGAGACACAATAATTTGACAATGGGAAAGGAGTAAGACAGGGATATATACTGTCTCCATACCTATTCAATTTATGCGAGAGGCAGGCCTGGATTCCATCGAATCAGGCGTGAATATTGGAGGCAGACTAATAAACAACTTAAGATATACTGATGATACCACCCAACTAGCAAATAGCCAAGCTGAAATAATGACCCCGTTGGTAAATGTTAAAGAAGCTTGTGAGAAGGCTGGACTCTGACTCGATCTCCAAAAGACAAAGGCGATAGCGACACAACACCTAAACTCATTTAGTCTGGGAAATGAACCAATCGAAGTTGTGAAGAACGTTGTATGCATGGGCTCCTTGATTGCTGAAGACGGGGAGTGTAGCCACGAGATCAGAAGTGGGCTAGCTCGCGGTAGAACAGCCATATCACGGCTCAATACGATATGGAGAGACAAGGGCATTACCATAAACACCAAGAAGAGGCTTGTCAAAGCTCTGTTATTCCCTCTTGCCCTATATGGATGTGAGTCGTGGACGCCGAGATTGAGTGAGTGAAAGAGGATCAGCGCATTTGAGATGTGGTGCTGGAGAATAATTATACGTACACCATGGGCAGCAAAAATATCAAACATGTCCACCCTGAGAGAGATTGGTCCTGCTGTTCAACTCGAGGCCTTATTCGTGAAGCAAGAATTGACAAACTTTGGACACGATATGAGGACCTCTGGACTAAGGTCTTGCTCGGTAATGGAAAAAGTAGCAGGGGCAGAGGTCGACCTCGGAGGAGGTGGATGGACGACATCAAGAACACCGCTGGCCTTATATACTAACCCAGCTATGAGAGGCAGCGGAGAGACAGGTGTGGATGGCGGAGTCTGGTCGTGGATGTCACCAGAGGTCGTACTCGACCTCACAGCACAAGTTGTTGACAAGTTGACTGCCTGGAATCCAATTAGCGTTATCTGATTAGCAGTGCATGTGAGTCAACAAGTTTGTAAAATATAGATATATAAATACCCACAATTAAACTGTAATTATGAAATTAGTATTTATGCTTAACAATTGGCAGCTCATTAAGACTTAGGGATTTGGCCAATATTTTTGGGAACATGTGACTATACACACTGGGTGAGATCCATACATTTGTAATTACAGAATGTTCCAATGCAACATTACATTTCCCATATTAATTACCACTTCGGCAAAGTAAATGCACATGTACGATGCCGTGACTGCAAATGAAAATAACTGTTAAATTACATTCATCACTAATTCTTATTTTACCAATTAGTTGTCACCAGTTAAGACGTTATTTTTGTAATATATAAATTGATACATTAGCTTGAAAAGAACATAAGCTGTATCACTTAACTCAAGCGAAACTCTAGAAGTATGTGTGCTGCCATAATTCAGGAATCTAAAACGTTGGGATGCTCCCCATGATCCGTGATTCCACTGTGGTGAATGAGAGCAGACACATGGCTAAAAACCTCCTCTCGTTCACGACACATTCGTTCTTTTAACATCTGCTAGAGACAAAATCGAGTATCTGCTCTTTTGACTTTTATTTACCCTTGATGCTCTATGGAAACGTGCAAATGAATTTGTGTCTCGGCATTGCTTTTTTTTTCGCATTGAATGCGGTCCCATGTTTAACCCTTGCCCTACTGTTGCCAATAGCACCTGGCCATCTGGCAGCATTTGTTTAACAAACCTGACTCTGCTCATGAGACACAGAAGGTCAAAGCTGGTCCAGATTTTGTTTGATCAATAAATGTTGCTTTGTAATATTTGTCTGGAAAGCCAATCTGCTTATGGAATGAAACATTTCGTTTTATTTATATGTGGAGGCACAACATGAAGTGTTGCGTTTGTATATTTATACACACATACATACATACGTAGAAGCCTGAGTTGCAAAGAACAAACTCATTGCCTACAAAGTTCTTCGTGACACGCGGGTTGACTGTGCTGTGTAGGTGTGGTGGCCGACAGCCCGACATCGAAAGGATTGCGCAGCACCAACACCGTCAGCGCCATCTTCTCCGAGGCTTGGAAACGAGGCACCGAGCTCACGCAGGCCCACCGGGTCAGTGCGGCCATGTGTGTGTTGCGTGCATTAGGCCATTGCTACGGATGTATGTCCCGGTTACACAGCCAATCTTTGGTGTGGATTTATTTTTGTGTGTGCATGCGTGTATACGAGTGTGTATATGTTCAGTGGGGAACGATAGTGCACCAGTTAGCGGTCTGCGCTACGAACCCGACCAGCCGGGTTCGATTCCCGCTCACGGCAAACATCAGTGACGATTATCTGAACCGGTCCTGGGCCTCCCCTAGGTCTGCCTCAAATGAGTACCTGGTGCAATGTGTAAACATCGCCACTAGGGAGACAAAGGCGGCTGGACGTGGTGCTGGTCACCCACCCCCTCGTGTGCCGTGCTGGTCTTCATAGGTGCTCGCTAACAGCACTTACCCCAACAGTCTGTTAAGGCTATATGGGGGTTCTTTGTCTTTGTGAGTATGCCCACGGATTATAAATACATTTGGCACAACGGGTCATAACCTCATTTTTTAGGATGCCAGGTAACCAAAGTGATGCATTTTTTGTAGAGATGCAAGAGGCCACAGCATGTTACTGGGGAAAAGGCCCATGGATATATTACAAGAGCCAGTGAAGAGTGGGCAGATGAATGCTTCATAGCATCACCAAAATCACACCATGCACTGCTGCTTTTGCGATTCAGTGTTCCCTCTGTGTGTTGGCACATTTATCAAGTGACAAACAACACAGTAGTGCATCACATCTTGATTTTCAAATGCAGGCAATTAATTTACATATTCGGAGCATTAAAATCAATGTATCTGTGCACATTTTTTAAATAGTGTATCATGAATAATAAAAACTAAATTCCAACACAGACATGGAACCCAGTTGTAAGCGAAAGAGAATACCGTTGGCCTTGCATTTACAACGAGGAGTTAGGCGGTGTTATTCTATGCATGCACATACACGTACGCTAGAAAGTAATGCTAGCAATAATGTCAAATTCGGAAAAATCTAATCGCAGTGTAGTTTCATTTAGAGTAAACGCTATTAGCATTTCCAACACTGAATAATATGTTATTCCATACACTGAATTCTTTACAAGATGACATCTAACCATATGCATGAGATCTTAAAAGTAATGTTGTGTTTCTATAGCCCTCCAGATCCAGTATTTTAAGGACTATTACAGATGAGAGGGGGGAGGGGGGGCATTCTGTTCATCCGGGTTGTCAGTTGAAGATAGATTCTAGAATCTCTGTAAGGTGTTTCTTGAAGGGTCCCAGTTAATCTCGGGTGCCAAAGTGGCGAAATGTTAACTACCTTGCTTGGTATGCAGGGGTTCGTGGGTTCGATTTTTAACCCTGATGCCCACTGTATATTTGGAGTTTGTGTGTTCTCTCTCTCCGTGGTCACGTGGAGTTTTCTCAGGGTCCTCCGGTTATTCCCTCCACATTTAGAAATATGCATTTTGAGTACTTGGCTGCTAGAAATTTCCACATTGATGATGACCAATTCGTTCAGCTATCATTTGTGGCCGGGTCGCTTCTGCAAAAGAGCTATGTAGCTCAGTGGACCTTACCTGGTAAAATAACAATAGTGTAGTGAGTTCAACTGAGTCGCAGACGTACTCTTGGAAGCAACACATTTTTTAACACCAACACACGGGGTAACTGCCCCTTAACAGGATAACAACCTACAGTGAGGGAAAAAAGTATTTGATCCCCTGCTGATTTTGTACATTTGCCCACTGACAAAGAAATGATCAGTCTATAATTTTAATGGTAGATTTATTTGAACAGTGAGAGACAGAATAACAACAAGAAAATCCAGAAAAACGCATGTCAAAAATGTTATAAATTGATTTGCATTTTAATGAGGGAAATAAGTATTTGACCCCCTCTCAATCAGAAAGATTTCTGGCTCCCAGGTGTCTTTTATACAGTTAATGAGCTGAGACTAGGAGCACACTCTTAAAGGGAGTGCTCCTAATCTTAGCTTGTTACCTGTATAAAAGACACCTGTCCACAGAAGCAATCAATCAATCAGATTCCAAATGCTCCACCATGGCCAAGACCAAAGAGCTCTCCAAGGATGTCAGGGACAAGATTATAGACCTACACAAGGCTGGAATGGGCTACAAGACCATTACCAAGCAGCTTGGTGAGAAGGTGACAACAGTTGGTGTGATTATTCGCAAATGGAAGAAACACAAAAGAACTGTCAATCTTCCTCGGCCTGGGGCTCCATGCAAGATCTCACCTCGTGGAGTTGCAATGATTATGAGCACGGTGAGGAGTCAGCCCAGAACTACACGGGAGGATCTTGTCAATGATCTCAAGGCAGCTGGGACCATAGTCACCAAGAAAACAATTGGTAACACACTATGCCGTGAAGAACTGAAATCCTGTAGCGCCCGCAAGGTCCCCCTGCTCAAGAAAGCACATATACATGCCCGTCTGAAGATTGCCAATGAACATCTGAATGATTCAGAGGACAACTGGGTGAAAGTGTCGTGGTCAGATGAGACCAAAATGGAGCTCTTTGGCATCAACTCAACTCGCCGTGTTTGGAGGAGAAGGAATGCTGCCTATGACCCCAAGAACACCATCCCCACCGTCAAGCATGGAGGTGGAAACATTATGCTTTGGGGGTGTTTTTCTGCTCAGGGGACAGGACAACTTCACCGCATCAAAGGGACGATGGACGGGGCCATGTACCGTCAAATCTTGGGTGAGAACCTCCTTCCCTCAGCCAGGGCATTGAAAATGGGTCGTGGATGGGTATTCCAGCATGACAATGACCCAAAACACACGGCCAAGGCAACAAAGGAGTGGCTCAAGAAGAAGCACATTAAGGTTCTGGAGTGGCCTAGCCAGTCTCCAGACCTTAATCCCATAAAAAATCTGTGGAGGGAGCTGAAGGTTCGAGTTGCCAAACGTCAGCCTCGAAACCTTAATGACTTGGAGAAGATCTGCAAAGAGGAGTGGGACAAAATCCCTCCTGAGATGTGTGCAAACCTGGTGGCCAACTACAAGAAACGTCTGACCTCTGTGATTGCCAACAAGGTTTTTGCCACCAAGTACTAAGTCATGTTTTGCAGAGGGGTCAAATACTTATTTCCCTCATTAAAATGCAAATCAATTAATAACATTTTTGACATGCGTTTTTCTGGATTTTCTTCTTGTTATTCTGTCTCTCACTGTTCAAATAAATCTACCATTAAAATTATAGACTGATCATTTCTTCGTCAGTGGGCAAACGTACAAAATCAGCAGGGGATCAAATACTTTTTTCCCTCACTGTATGGTGGTGACCACCAGGGTAACTACACTAATTACACCGTAACTAGCTACAACGGACCGGACCACAGCTTGGGTCCAGGTCCACGTGTTTGAGACTCTGCAGGACGTACAACGTAGACGAAGGTTTCTTCAGGATGAACAACAGCGCCGGTCCCTCTGGGGGACCCGGCTTATATCCTCTATGGCGTGGCTGGCTCCACCCTTGGCTACGACCACCTTACAGAATCCTCAAGCAGGATCTGGACCCTGACACGTGACCACCCCAAGCCCCCACTAGGCGCCCCTGTGTTGACTTAACCGGTCATGTGTCATCTGTGGTCAACCAGAGTGCCACGGCCCTTAGTAACCCCATTTCCATGGCCGGCACTCCCACACCCTATCCTGTAGGGGGCAGCACTGTACGCCAAGCATGGTGCCATCCAGCGCTATCGATCAGCGCTCACCGAGCCCCTCTAGGGCCGGTACTGCACCCACATCCAAGTGGTGTCCGCGATGTCAATACACCGCACGCCGGGCCTCTCTAGGGCCGGCACCACACAGTGACATCCCGCGATGTCACTACAGTAGTAACAAAAAATAGAATTTGCTTGCACCGCGTGTGGTTTGGGCAGCCGGGGTTCCAGATTGCAGCTGATCTTTGCGTAACACAAAATCGCCTCCTTGCCCTGGTCCTGAACTTTTCCACATGCAGCTTCCACCTGTAGCCTCTGCTTCTCTTCTTCTCATCTGTGTTGAACCTTGTCATGTTAAATGTGACTAATATTTCCACTGGTGTTATAACCTGTAAATCAAGTGTAGTGTCATCTCATTTAAGCCATAAGACATTGAGGTTCATCTAAGGTTAAACAAACACAAAATAAACACTCTGTGACTAAGAGCACACTCTCATTGGTGGCAGCTGGTAATCTGCTTAGTTTCTGTGTTGATGGAGTCATAAAAGTGTCTCTACAAACAAATTCAGTGTCCATTAGCATTTAGTGCAATATGGGTTTTATAGCTTGGGATCCAGTATTTTTTTTACTGAAAGTCACATAGGTATAAAAAATAATAGATCATGACGTTTCGATCGCCACACAAGCAACGTGACTTGACCAAAAGAACCAAAGAGTATGGATTCCTGCAGTCACGAAAACTTCAAATCAAGATTTAAAATATTCTGCTGCACTCTATGGCTATAGATATAGGATTTTACATGGCAACATTTTTATTTTCTCCCTTTTTGAGAACAAAATATTTGTATTCGAAGAAGTGTTTCTATACCTAGTGTACATGTCACTTTATTTTCTGTTGATGTACAGAGGTGCAGATTCATATGTTGGGCAAATGTTCCTATACAAAACAATCATATGCCTTTGTCACCATCAACAATGTGGCAAATCACCTTCGCAAAGTGTTTTTGATATTCCTTCCAATATGAATTTGCCCATTGGTTGGGTGCTCTTCTGATGCAATGAAAGGTTTTACACAAATGGTAATAGGTTAACCTTTATACAGCCCAAAAATATTACTGACGTCAATAATTCATACGTCTTGTCTGCTCAAGCGTTTCAACTCGCATTGCAAGTTGACGACAAAATACATTTACATAAAACATCTTTCGTGTTATGTAACACGAGCTTCTTTGGGAAATGGCCTGGTGTTTCCATTGTTGAAAATATTTTTTAATGGGTATCATAATATCAGAGCTGAAGATTTCCAGAGAGCCACAATTGATTTTGCCTCTTATGGACATCATTTATCACGAGGCGACCCTGTCTTCCACGTGCAAACACTCACGAATCATCACATATTAACAAACATTCTGACAGGATTTGACAATGGTGAAACATCGTGACTATGTTTGCTTCATTAGTTACAGCTGTATGTCATCCATTGCTGGACGAAGGTCTCCCCACACACTGTCTGTCATGAAGGTGAATTTTTTTTTCCCATATTCCACCACGTTCGTCAGTGCAGGATGGTTAAGACCGGCTCAGATATTACTCGTCACCGATGTTTGCCATGGCCAAGAAATGAACCCAAGTTGCCATTTTCAGAGCAAAATGCACCAACCACTATGTCACCATGCTCCACTGATTTTGCTTTCATAATGGTACATTTAGAAACAAATTCTGCACAATGATTATGGAGGCCGGTAATTAACAAGGATTTAAGATATTCTGCCATTATTGTCAGTTTGCCATACATCTGGGTCATAATTTGATATTGATGTATATAAGCAATGAAATAAATTAAAACGTACAACTCACGTATTAAAAATATTTACATCCTAACGTATGTTTGTAAATATTCGCTTGGTGGTGGTGGTGGCTAGCAACGCATATAACCCAACACTGTAAAGACGAGGGTTGGTGGATCAAATAAGTATTGGGAAACTCCCTTCCTGTGGGTGTCGAGGTACCATACACTGGCTTGCCATGAGAATGCAGAACAGTAAATGTGGACCCAAACCAGTTCCATATTTAATGGATCGAGCGTTGCCCCCTCACAAGCTCAGGTTTTCGCCAGGTACTCCAGTTACCACCCACATACACATATACAGTAATATACAGATGTATGTCTCCAATTTCACGTCATTACTTAATTAATACCACTACCTGATGTGCGTCCCCTCAACCCACACCTACATCGATGACAGCATCATCCATCCTTTCTCTTATCCGTCGCCTTGGCCTCTGCCTACCCTGTAAATTGCTTTGATTTACGTCGTTTCGATATTCATTGCACCTTTCAGGAATGCATCCCCGATGGAATATCCTATACATATGTTTACGATTAGGAATTATGTACACAGTAATTAATTTGTATCTTGCATACACAGATGAATGTGATGTCCTGAAAGTAACCGATCAACTTGACACCCAAAAATGAGTTGACATGTGACATTTATGTAAATACTACATATGTATTGAAAATGACTGACCTCATACAGCCAAGTTAAAGTGTCTCTGTCTTCAATTACAAAATGGGGCTACATAAGTTTCCATTGTCAGTTTTGATTCATCAATGCCAATTGCACATCTGTATGATGGAGGCCACTTCCTGTGTAGAACAGCCACCCTTACTTCCCAAAGAGTGCTGTTATTTGCGTTGCCAAAGGAGATGACAGAGTCATAATTTGTTTATTGTAGGCATGACTGTGATTACCAATATTGCCTGACCAAAATGTGCATGCCAAATTTTTGCAGGAGAATCAACTGGATGATGTATTCCTGCCACTCTCTCCACCACCTGGTGCTCTGGAGAACTCGGACACAGCAGGAGCAGAAATGTCCTTTCCTCCTCCTCCTGAATCTTTTGTGCAAACCAAGGTCCTAGGCCCAGCGCCACAAACTCGGCCCATTGTCAAGTCAGATGATGTTTCTTCTCCACCTCCTCCTCCTCCATGTGATGGGTTTCCTCCTCCTCCACCTGACACCTTTCCTCCCCCACCTCCTCCTGCAGCAATACCTCAAAGCAGCAGGCCAGCACCGGCGGCTAGAATGAGTGCCAACCCGGCGAGCGGAGTTGTTGTGGCAATCAGAGCAAAGAAACCTCCATCAGTGCCACAACGCAAATCGAGCTGCCTTTCAAGCAGCGACATCGAACAGGTGCAAGGCACGATGATGGCAGATGACTTTCCACCACCACCCCCGCCTGAAGAGTTTATGCCACCTCCTCCATCTTTCCTTCCTCCACCGCCACAATTTTACCCTCCACAAGAAATGGCACTGCCACCTCCTCCCCGTTGCAATGCTCCTACACTTCCTTCTTTTCCAAAACCACGTCCACCAGCTGGCAAGGCACCACAGCCTCCCAAAACCCCATGTGCTCCACAGCTCCATAACAAAGTTGGTACAATGCATCAAGCACCTATAACAAACAATTCCTTACCCTCAGCTCAACCCAGCATGCCAGATGTGTCCATCCCAACCCCTCCTGGTGCTGCACTACCACCACCACCGCCGCCACCACCACCGCCACCACCACCAGTTACATCGAGTTCAACCATGCATGTAAAAGCAGTTAACCCTTGTAATGTGGTCCTCAAAAAAACACCTGTCAATCCCATCCCTCCACCCAAGCCCAACTTCCTAGATGATCTTGCAAACACTCTTAGAAAGAAACAACTGGCACAAAACGCTGGGGATGGAGCAACAGGACCATCAGTGTTGACGCTGTCACCTCCACGACCCATTCCTCCAAAGCCTGGCTTCCCACCTCCGAGTTTTCATGGTACAGGTTAATCCCTGATATATATGTCCATTAATTAACAGCAAGTTGGCAAACTAATGTCTGATTGCAATTTTAAGAGTTAGCGTACACAACCTAACCTCATAGAAACTAACATCAAATCTAATTTTGAGTCTCACCCCCATTACGTGAGATTTAGAACTGCAGGATTACTTCAGTGTCAAAATTGCGTGTGTAATGAACCGTTTTCAATGTTGTAACTAGTAAATTGCCCAATGTCCCCAATCAATTGGAACATTTCTCTGCTGCACCAGCATGATGTTTTTTTGTTAATACAAAGTATGATTTGAATATGAAAAGGGATGCTCATATTTAATTGAAAACTCCAGTCACTTAAAAAACAATGTTTTATCATTTTTGTATACAGACTCATTCTTGGAAGATATTCACTGTAATGCTGAAAACACTTTTAAAATTGCACATCATCCTCGACATTGTATTTAAATAACGAAAATGTTGGTAATGAAAACAGAGCAGAGTTTCTTTGTTGTAAACAATATCATTAAAATACTTCTTGCTTGAAATTCAAGCACACAATGTCAGTGCATTTTCATCACCAGCTATGAAAATTTCTTACATTTGCATCTGTTTATCTCTCGTAATATCTAATCTTCTAACGTCAATATTATTTCAGATAAAATGTTATTTGCACATTTGTGATTAAAATTATCCTGCCATAACACACTTATAAACACAGTATGTTCTGCTTTCCCAAGTTTTATCATGTCATTATCGGTCCATCCATCCAATCTGATTAATCCACTCCAACATACAGTGAGGGAAAAAAGTATTTGATCCCCTGCTGAGTTTGTACGTTTGCTCACTGACAAAGATATGATCAGTCTATAATTTTAATGGTAGGTTTATTTGAACAGTGAGAGACAGAATAACAGCAACAAAAATCCAGAAAAACGCATTTCAAAAATGTTATAAATTGATTTGCATTTTAATGAGGGAAATAAGTATTTGACCCCCTCTCAATCAGAAAGATTTCTGGCTCCCAGGTGTCTTTTATACAGGTAATGAGCTGAGATTAGGAGCAGATGAGACCAAAATGGAGCTCTTTAGCATCAACTCAACTCGCCGTGTTTGGAGCAGGAGGAATGCTGCCTATGACCCCAAGAATACCATCCCCACCGTCAAACATGGAGGTGGAAACATTATGCTTTGGGGGGTGTTTTTCTGCTAAGGGGACAGGACAACTTCACCGCATCAAAGGGACCGTCAAATCTTGGGTGAGAACCTCCTTCCCTCAGTCAGGGCATTGAAAATGGGTCGTGAATGTGTATTCCAGCATGACAATGACCCAGGCTATGTGGTCCATTCACTGTATTTGTAAATTGTGTGTCTTACACACATCATTTAATGTCATGATGTGGAAATATGACTTGCGGGTGGCCACAATGTCAGTGGCATGCAATGAAGCCACTTCAGATAAGTAGTGAAATCTGGTAAAAACAAGATAACATCCTCTCTAGATAATGAGATTACCCATCACCTGGAAAAAAACAAATGCAGTTCAAAATTGAGTAACACATAATCCTAAAATGAAATACCAATAGCCTCATGCAACACTTTTACATGAGGCACGAATCTATTAACTCGGCTACAAAATTTGGTGAATTGCCACATATGCCAGGGCAACTAAATTCGTTTGGCTTTTTGCACTGTGTTCAGTTTGTTAAGTTCGTTTTGCTCCCTTAGTCTAAATGGAAAATGAGCTCATCACGTGTGTATGAATTACATGAACCAGAAATAATCATTTATTACATGCATGATTCAATATTTAATGTATCATGATTTTTACTGTAATCTATGAATTGATGTGTCATTAAATGCCACATTTCCCCCCTTTAAACGTGTTGTTTATTGAATGTGGACAAGCCTCACGTATTTTCGTTAAAGGTTTCCAGTGCGTGTACAATGATACGGCAATGCATTGGACTGTTAATTACTTCGTTGGGAATGTTATAAAACACACCTGACTGCACAACCCTGCTATGCAGCCTGCCATTTTTTGATGAATGGACCACATAGCCTGGGTAAAAAGAAAACAGGTGACCTAGTTAAATGAAGGCCTTTGCACTGTGACATTACAGTACATGCGCTTTGAATAAAATGTTTTATTAAACATGGAACATTAATGTTGCATGACAATGTATTAGAAAGAAAAAAAACTAGTTTTTTTAAGTGTCACACAAAATGGACGAAGGTGAGTGTGACAGAAAAAAACTGTTTCTGGCAATATTAAACTTTGACGTTGATTTTCCTATATTATTTCGCAAAGTGTGATTTCTTTCAAGCTAATACATTGTGGTACAACCATCTACATTCGAGCAATTTAAAATATAGCAATTGCTCAACATAGATGTTTGCACACTACTTCATGACTGGGTGCAGCAAGGCACTGGGTTAACAATAATCGTTTTCTTATGATCTTTGGTGTTTTTTTATTGATTTACTCTGCAGTGAAAAATAAGTACTCATAATAAAGGTTATATAGCATGTGTCGTTAACCCACCAACACCCGACACAGCCAATTAGTAAGATTTGTCACGTGAACAAAATGTGCCAATTAGCTATTACTTGAGCAAATTGGTTTGATGCCGAGTAAACCCACACAACATTTACAATTGTGTATGACGTTTTGCTGGTTCATCAGGCGATTTGCCATCATTATAATCATCAGCAAAACTAATTGGCTGTCGGGCGGTGGTGGATTAACAACTATTCATATTTATATTCTTAGCTCTTTCGGTAAAGTCACGTTGAAGGGAAACAATAAAATAATAATAATATATATAAAACAATAAAAATTCTCACGACGTTTCGACCATAACACAAACCGACACACCTGATGACGACCGTTTGTGTTATGGTCGAAACGTCGTGAGAATTTTTATTGTTTTATATATATTTCATTATTTTATTGTTTCCCTTCAACGTGACTTTACCGAAAGAGCTAAGAATATGAATTACTGCAGTCACGAAAGCTTTAAATAAAAATTTATTCATATTTACACAATCTAACCCAAAAACCTTTATTATGAATAATATTGGTCGCCAAAGCCTACGTGTTACATTCTAAAAAAAATAAGTACATTGTAATTTAAACGTTTCCAGAGTTCATGCATATTTTTATTTGATCCACCCATAATGATAGGTTTATTGGCACATTATTGCATTGGATAGGGAAAACGGAAGGGAAAATTCGAAAAGGAAGATAGCAGATCAGTTTGTCGATCAAAGTGAGCAGTTGGGATGGGAATCTCCACAAGAGACGTTGAAGCTCACGCATCTATCATGGCTATCAACCCTCAGTTATGAGGATGACAATAGACATATAGTTGCTTTCTAGACATAATCAGACAATGCACCATAGTACTTGTACTGGATGATCTGAAACAGCATAACTAAACATTTTTAATTAACAGAATATGGACAAAAATCACCCACAAAAGTGTTGTACTTCAAATTCACATCTGCTGGTAAATAAATGGTCAAAACAGCAATGTCAAAATAGGCAAGCATTTAACAGAGACAAATTGTCAAAAATAGTGGTTAGGAGACCCATCTGAAACATATACTGTTCATACTAATTATGTATATGTAGCAATCCTTGGATTTACTACAGGAGATGGTGGAAGTTTGATATGCAAGAATGCAGCAGAAACCTCCATTTTCTGTCACTGTAGGACTGTTCTTTAAAATGCATTGCAGGGAAATGGGTTTACAAGATCTGATAATACCAGCAAGGATGAATGTGCAAAATGCTAAAGAAAACCTGACTCAAGAGAAAACTTGTCGTATTAAGACGAAAATGTAATAATTCTTGGCACGACAGATGTTACACTACTCAATAATATACACAAATGATAAGTGATTTTATAAATACTGATGTCTGTTTCCCCAAGAATTATTTACTTTTTGTCATCCCGTTTAAGGTTTTACCTTGAATTATATTTTTTGTACGTGGAGAAGAATGATGGAAAAAGGATGGATATTGTGGAAAATACAAACTGCCATTGGACTAATTGGGAACATCTGTAAAAAAAATTGCAAACTTTTAAATTTGTTGTTTATAAATATTTTAAAAAAAACATTCCAAATCACTGCAGCATGGACCTCATGTGATGCATGAAATGTAGAGAGGTATGTTGTTTAAAATGTTGTATATTCAAAATTTTCTCAGAAAAATGTATGGTCTTTATCAATAAACATGTATTCCGTTATCAGACTTAAATGTAATCTTTGCAATATGTGATTGATGCTATATGAATGCTATGTTCACAATTCTATCCAACGAATCTTGCAGACAAGCTTCCGTTTTAACTATTTACTTGCAATCGCTATAGAATGCAAATCTGTCCAAAAGCATCACAATCAACTGCCTTTGTCCTCTTGGGCTCCTCGTTAGCAATGGCATTCATATCAACGCACGTGACAGACACCAACTGATCTCTTTCTGAGGTCTAAATCAATACACCGTTTGTTTGACACATTATATTTTCAAAATAAGAAATCGTAATGTCATTAATCTCACCTGAGGAGAACTGTGAGAGCCCATCGCCATTAACCACAAACTGTGAACGCAGTATCCCTGTTGCATGAACCTGTTAAGGCAGGCATTGTCTCCCCGTGCAACCCAAGCACCTGGTACCCCATCATTCCATTGCCGGCTGATACGTCTCAAAAGTGCCGTATATCGTCACAATGTACCCGTATAATTACAATAAGAAATGCACGATACGCAAATTACTGGACATTTTTGCTTAAATGGCAAAATTCAGAGGTCACACTCGTGAGCTCACCAGCAGATGGCAGTGTTGAGTGTTAACGCGTCGCGTGTGTGGGTTTTCTCCAGATTCTCAGATTTCTTTCCACATTCCAAGTCCTCATGATTGGAATTGACCAAACTTCCCATTGCAGAAGCCTCCTGAAAGGGTTCCCTAGACTCAGGCTTTGCCTGGGTAAATAATGGGCGTTCTGTATTATACTTTGTTATTTTGTAAGAGTAAGAGGAATAATTAATATTAACTTAATATTTTCCCATTTCCGTGGGAGAAAAAGTTATATTTTCCCTTTATAGCCTTGGTTTGCGAATAATATCCACCTGGTATTTGTGCCGGACATAAGTGCGTTTGGCATTGCGTCAGATGTAGCGGGTTCAAAATAAAGTCAGAGCCAACATAGTGACAGTTTTTGTCTTTGTTCATACGTACATGTGACCACTAAAGTCATAAATCAATGCGAAGGCACTTTTATGAAGTTTATATGTAACAGTGACTTAAGCATAAGCTACATCTTGAACCCATTAGTGTTAATTTACCTTGTTGTCGAACAACTCTTCAGTAGACTACAAATAAAACTATTTCTCTTCACCAAATGTAATGAGAAAATAAGTTGCTTTTCAATATTAATATAATGAAATCTGTATTGAAATTATAACATAACTTTATGGAATAACTAGCTTTACTACCCGGCTTAGCCCGAGACTTGGATTCTACGCGGAGGGTTGGGGGGGGGGATGCGTGACGTCAGCAGGCACACTGCGTGACGCTGCCGCATGCGGGTGACATCACAGATGTTACGTCACCGCTCACTTGCCGTGCAAAATATATCCATTATTGCGCCCCCCCCCCCCCCCCAAAATACAAAAGTTGCATTTCAGGAAGTATGCTAAACATTTAGAAAACACACATTCACGTAATTACCCCTTTATATATAGATAACTACCATATTTTCCCGCATATAGCCCACATACGCATGTAACCCGCAGACGCATATACCCCGCAAAAAATACCCCGCTTGCATTAATATATTTAACGTCGTTAGCGCAGCTTCATTCCATCATATCAATACGAAGTTTACATTTGTAATACATTCCACTATCAATTGTTAACATTAAAATCATAACGTGCACAAAGAAAACAAACTAACGAGTGAACTTCAAACGGTAAACAAGTAACAAAAGTAAATATCCAATTAATAAGTAACGCGTAACTGGTAGATAAGTATCTACATCATTAGACCCCCTTTGCCAATACCAAAATATAATAATAATAGGGTTTTTCCCCTTTATTTTTGGCAACAAAACTGAAACCTTTTTACAAGGAATCATGTGTGCATTAACCACAATACTTGTGATCAGAATGCAAACAAAAAAAACATTGATAATATATGCATTGTCCTTGAAACTGATTGGTCCACACCAAGGGACGGTTTTCTTTTGAGCCTCATCTCAATTGGTGCTAGACCAGAGGACGCCAAAAGGTGTACAGCTCAAAGACAATGCACTATCAAAAAGAAAGGAGAAAAACCCTATTATTATAGTTTGGTATTGACAAAGGAGGTCTAATGATGTAGATACTTACCCCGAGCCCTCATTACTTTGATAGTGCATTGTCTTTGAGCTGTACGCCTTTTGGTGTCCTCTGGTCGAGCACCGATTGAGACGAGGCTCAAAGGAAAGCCGTCTCTGGTGTGGACCAATCCGTTTCAAGGACAATGCATATATTATCAGTGTGTTTTTTGTTTGCATTTTGATCACACGTATTGTGGTTAATGCACACATGATTCCTTGTAAAAAGGTTTCAGTTTTGTTGCCAGAAAAAAAGGGGGGAAACCCTATTATTATGGTAGATAAGTAAGTCAGCGTACTGTTAGGCTTACCAGCATTCGACCTCATCATATTACAGCTACTGGACCGGTAGTTACCCCTGTACAGTTTTCGCACTGGTAGATTGTGCACTGCGCAGACAATAGCGGCACTATGGTAACGCTATTGCCTCCTGGCAACAAAGCCATTGGAAGTTTGAAACAAAGCTCATGGTCGCGACTGTATAGTGCTCAGCCAATAGCAGCGGCCTAAGGGACTCAGCAATTACGATTCCGCGTCTGGTAGACGCTTGTTAAGGCCCTTCCCATTGTGCAATCCATAGCCTCAGCTGGAACTTTCGCACCCCCCTACAGCCACTGAAAGTATTACGGTAAACAAGGTGCACCCACTTCAAACATTGTCGTTTCATTGTACAAACAATTCGAATCATTTAAAACGTGATAACATGTGTAATTTTAGTGTGAGTGGTTTATTCAGCAGTGCTTTAGTCAAAGGTAAGTGTTGCATAGTGGATAGTCCTACCATGAAAAAATTTAACGAGTTATGACATGCCGCACGTGTAAAATATTTTTGGGATAGCCCGCACCTCCATATTCCCCACAGGGTCTTGTTTTGTTTGTAAGAAGTGGTATACCCCGCGGGTTATATGCGGGAAAATACCTCTGAACCATTGGATTTAATGTTTATGCACATGGATACAAGGAGTAGACAAAACAAAAACGATGTGACTATAACATGTTCACGCTAAGCAACACACTCTGAAAATATGAATAACATTTTAAATAAAACACGTAACTAAGTATATGTATTTATGTATATAACGTATACAATGCAATTACTATACTACAATGAATAAAATATGTATTCATAACCTCATGGGCTGCATTAACGTCAGATTGCTGAACGAATACATTATGAGGTCGCACTCATTACACACAAAGTGCTTGCCACAAATGAAACATAATTCCTTGCTGATCTGGTCAAGGAGAAAAAGCCATCATGCGAACTCTGATCATTCCCGCAGTGGCTTTTGGCTAGCCATCGAACAAAGACGGTCACTGCATCGTGCGTTTTCAGGTGCGCTTAAGTTCGGAATTCTCTTGCTTCAAATATAAGCAAGCCACTGGAGCTATGCAATTTTAAATCTAGACTGAAAATGCATTTATTTTGTGTTTAGTTTGTTGTGCTTCACCAAACCTCCGATTATCACGGTTGTCTGCATATGGTGCGAAAGAAGTTCAACATACATACACATAGATACATGAGAGGTGATCATCAGCACCCATGAGATATCCAATGCTGGATAAAGACTTCCCTAAGCTGCTGCCATTCCTCATGGTCACATTATGCAAACGATATACGTAGCTCCCGCACACGAGATAGTCTCATCGCTCCATCTCCTTTCGGGTACATTCCCTCCTTTCGCTGCAACTCGTTAATTTCTACCAATGGTGGCCGTCGGTAGAATAGAATACGAGACCACTCAGACAAAATGTATTTTTTTGCACAGTTGAAGATGAGAGACCTACATTTAAAAAATGGAATGAAGTAGGAATAGAAATGAGTGCAAGACCCGTGGTATCAAATACAAAGACGCACAACCGTAGTTCATTTCCATGGGCGCACATCAAGGCTGGCACGGCCCGGTTTTATTCATTCGGGTTTTAATCGGTTTTTGTATAAAACCGGAGCACCTGGATCCTGCCCAAATCCGGTTTTATTCGGTTTTATTAAAGTTAAGTTCGGGATTTCAGTCGCACGCACCCGTTAGCGGCGTTCGGGCTGGGGCCCGGGCTCAGCCGCCGTGCGCGTGAGTCACGCGCACGGCGGCATGGCCACGTCGACTCCTGCGTCTGAGCGAAACTTCTCGACGATGGGATTTATCCATTCCAAGTTGAGGAACAGCCTGGCGCCCAACACAGTCGAGAAGCTCGTCTTCGTTAAGTCGAACCTCAACGCGTTCCATGACTACCCGACGCCCGACGACGGCGACGACAACACCGAGTCCAGCAGCGAGAGCGACGACGACGAAGACGACGCGGCGGCGGCGGACGACGACGAGGAGCAGGATTGAAGTGTGCACGAGACGCCGATAACAAAACCAGGGTTTTAATCGGCAAAATCGGGTTTAATTCCATTAAAACCAATAACCCCATTTGTCGGGCAAAAAAAGAATCGGGTTTTTCCCACCCTTGGCGCACATTTGATGTCAACAAAACCTTGAGGAGGGTGGCACCGACGCTACTCCCAGTGTGCCTGGGCAAGTTGTTTTTTCAACAATTCTCAATCATCGTCTCCACGTTTCAACATGCTGGCATGCTCTGTAAATGACCCGACATCCTCTGTAAGTGGCCCGAGGATAAAAAGTACGAAAATGTGAACTTGCTTTGTTGTCCCAATGAAAATGAGCTTAGAAGAGCTACGCCTCTCCCGATGACATCACCTTTCTCTCTACCTTTCCTTGTGACGTCATCCTCCTCCTGTACCCTCAGATCTAGCGAGTATGTGTATACCCTCGGATCACGTACGTATCCGCACTACACATTTATAAAGCGTTAATTGAATGGACATTAGATATGTAATGACATCAATGGTTATTCATTCATACATTTTATGCAGTTTTGCACAGATAATAACAAAAAAACCCGAAACAATACATAAACGTAACTAGTTTGTGATATGAAGGGCCATTGCCAAAAAAGTGCAGGATAACATTTTATTATTGCAAGGCAGTTATCAGAATGTGTCGTGGTTATTTTACGTAATTGAGTTTATTTCATATATTGGCAGTAAATGTTTAAGAAAAAAATAACATCAAATCATTACATTACACAGAGTAAATGTTAAACGAATAATATTTATTTCATATTTAGTACATAGTGCTTGGGTGGCAACATGTCGGAGTGGTAGAACATTCGCCATTTTTTAAGAGGTTCATGGTTGGAATCCAGCGGCCGTCCTGATAAACACTGCGGTGTGCATAACGATTTAAAAAAATACCATGTGCCGTCCACTTCACAGCGGATCCCGTTATGTCATCGCAAGAATTGGTTGTTCAAATTTACCCAAATATGAATAATCACCTGCAAATTCCTCTATTTCGATCATACATAACAATCATCTGCCACCCACCCCCCCCTACCGCAACAAGCCCGGCTGGACCCTCCTGTAAAATAAAAGTCACGAGACTCAGTGAGGCTTTCCTGGGCAAACAAGCGTCATAGTAATCAGAGCGGCCTTCGTGTTTTGTTGTGCTGGTGTCCGTGGTGACGAGTTATGCCGTTTATGAGCCACCTCAATCGACCCCGCTGTGTCCACGCTCAGCCAGCCGCCCCGGCGTGCGTGGGGGTTAGAAGGGACGGCCGCCACTTTTAACAGCGCTGGCAGCAAACGCGTGCGGGAACGAGGAACATCCTTATTGCGCTATTGCACAACTTTGCGACGGAACATTGTGCCAGACATGTGAGTAGAGCGTTACACACTGGGCGTGCGGCATGCTGCGCGACCCTCCGCGGGTATCACAACTGTATTGCTGAAGCTGATACGCGAGTACAGGAGAACTCCTCTTATCCGTGGCCTTAATACACACGAATCGTATCAGCGGCGATTGTAGGGTTCGCGACAACTCATTGTGGCCCATTTCCTATTGTCCGTTAAATTGTCTGCAAATATTCATCCCGCGGATAAGAGGAGTAAAATCACGGATAACCCCGTGGATAATGGAATCCACGAACCTGGTCCCCCATATCACCACGGATAAGAGGCATTCTGCATGTTATGCCATTGCAGCGTATGCATGCCGTACAGTATTTTTAAGTATTGATAAAGCCAACATTTCTAAGGACGAGTGTGAATTGGGAGTGATGTTTAATGGTCACAAAAAATGTGTCCTCTACTGCACAAAAGTTATGTGTTGCTGGAAATAAAAGTCAACACTTTAGGATCAAGGGTAGATCAAAAGTATCTAGATAAAATGTGTGCAGTTTTAAAAAAATATATATATTGGTTTGACCCAACAAAGCCAAGCAACATGTCAACTTATTTTTATGTCCTGCATCCTGCAGTTTCTAATTACATAATCAGAATCAATTATTGTACAGTATAGAAACCCATTTCAATTGAATTACAGGCCCATCCAAATGAGTTTCGTGGTTTTGAAGGCTATAAATGTTCCAATTAAAATATTACAAGGACATCTGTGGCATTGGGAGGGGGAAACACTTTCAAAACTGTAAACAGTGTGACAATTCAACGCAATGCTCTGAAGCTTCACGCGTGAAAATAAAAGCTGTGCAAACACCATAACCTGGTTGGGAGCTAAGTTCCAGTAAATTAAGTTGAAATTCAGTCTTCTGGGACCACCGCGATTAATGCCCAGTGTAGGTTATGGTGAAATTTTCGCTTTTAAATTTAAATGTCGACACGTCATTTGCCTTTCACATGAACCATACCCATAACATTTTTACTTACCCACTAAGCAAAGGTCAGTAATGTCTCAATGGGTAACTCAAGCATGGTTATTGCCATGCATGGTCTTTTATTTTTGTAATTGGGGTACATTTTGAAAAATATAATCCGTAAAAGTATAATTGCAGCAGACTTGGAATGCTTGACGAAGCAAGTTTTGTGAGGAATGGTGTCATTTCTTCAGTGACTAATGCTATTGAATTTTAAATGTTTTATCTGCACCAGTGGGAATAACACTGTCAAAACCATTTGAAAAGGAACCAGACATTCCATATTAAAATTAGGAATTTGAATCACAATGGGAATTGAGGAACTATGGGGATTGCACTGGGAATTAAATGTCTGCTTGACCGATTTAGGTGAAAATGTACGGCAGGTATATTATTTCATCAGTTGTAAACACATGCTTATAATTTCGATTTAAAGCTTTCGTGACTGCAGGGATTCGTCTTCTTGGTTCTTTCGGTAAAGTCACGTAGAAGGGAAATAATAAAAATAAAATATAATCAAATAAAATTTTCACAACGAGGAAAGCTACTTGTGTTGTGGCCGAAACGTCGTGAGAATTTTATTTTATTATGTTTCATTTTTATTATTTTATTATTTCCCTTCTACGTGACTTTACCGAAATAACCAAGAAGAGGCTTATAATTAGCATATTCAAGAGACTTTCATTTTCAACTGAGTGATACATTGTACTATACACATCCATATTAATTAAATAAGACACCCATGTAGAATGGTTTGGTACATTTCTCTCACTGCTCTTAGAATCTTCAATAAGTTAAATTAGTTTGGCTGTTGGAATCTGACATTCACACTGAATAATAGGAATGCTAAACGTAGCCGGGTGTAACCTATGCAATTTGCGCTGACCCATATTATTTAAACGCTGTTGAATATGAAATGGTTAATATTTGCTCCATGTATGCTAATATTGCCTTCTCAAATTTGTAAAACTTGGTCATTAATTAGCTTTGGGAGATATGTAAATTTCCAGTTACATTGCATGTTTACTGCATTGGGAATTACTTGTAGCAATAACAAGCGACTGCGGAAACTTGACAGAACCCTCCTGGAAAAAGAGTATTGAGACTCAACGAGGCTTTCATGAGTAAACAAGCGTAAGACTCATCTTCTTTGGTTCTTTCGGTAAAGTCACGTAGAATGAGAATAAAATAAATTGATTAAATAAAATAACACAATCATATTATCACGACGTTTCGGCCACAACACAAGCGGCCTTCATCAGGTGAAGGGACGAGACTGTCTGGAGGACAGCGCTGTCCAGCGCTGTCCTCCAGACAGTCTCCAGACAGTCTCGTCCCTTCAACTGATGAAGGCCGCTTGTGTTGTGGCCGAAACGTCGTGAGAATATTATTGTGTTATTTTATTTTATCAATTTATTATTTTATTCTCATTCTACGTGACTTTACCGAAAGAACCAAAGAAGATGAATCCTTGCAGTCACGAAAGCTTTAAATCGAAATTTAAGCGTAAGACTATAATGTCTTAAATATAAACAGCTGCCTGGGTTAAATTTCAGAAATGTTAGCAATGGCACAATGTGAGTGTTTTCATATGGAATGTGATGTTAAAAATAACTTTTACTGGAGTGAATTTACAACAGTGCAAGAATCACGTATTAAGTTCGCAGTTGATGAGCAAGATTATTGTAGATTCGGAGTTCATAAATACCTTGATACATTTGCCTGCTTTTTCTCTCAATCTACAAACCTATAAGGACAAGTTTTCGTTCAATAAGTAAATAACAAAATGTGAAATCAATCAACAAAGCCAAGTGAGGGACACTACAGGTGAACTTTATTTGGCAGAATCCAAAGCAAACATGGTAAATAATTGATGTCTGTGATTATTTGAAGCTCAAACTGAGGGAGTTGATCAGGTGTTAACAGAATTAAAACAATATGAACACAAACAGTTGTGTTTGTCAGAATACAAAAGTAATCCTTTCCACATCAATGGCACACTATGTGCATCTGGGTATGCATGAGAAGTGATACAATTAGTTTTTTGTGTTTAACAACTCAAAGTTGTTGATTTTTATTAAACTAAAATATGTTAAAGATTTTCAAATTATTTAAACTTGACAAAATGTTAGTGAAATTTAAGCCTACTAACTTGCAAAACAACATCACAGTTAGTCACTCACTCACGACTGGAGAGAAATTGTACACCCACACATGTAACTGTAAATATCTGACATGAACTGAAAACCATCAATTCAGATTAGCCTTTATTTATTATTATTAGTAAGAAAACACTAAGGTTGTTTGACCACAGAAATTCAAATTTAAACTTGTAATAATAAAAAACATGTCCATCAAATAATCAACATTGGAACACAAAGTAAATCGGAAAATGTAATTTATTTGTGAAAATAAACGCATAAGGAGTGCCAGTTCATTTCTTACAATCTTAATCCTAGTGATTATTATTATTTTTCTCTTGCACAAGAAAAATAGAATATTATTTAATTTGGGCATCTTGTGTGTGACAGCCATATTGCTATCTACTGCCACAAGCAGAAGTCGGAGGATACAATTCACATGTATTTACAAGAGCTTAACAGTAAAAGCTAACACTAATCTTGGTAATGCAAGCCACAGTTTTCTTCCCCCAATAAAACTGCACAGCAAACAGTCCTAATGCAAGTACCTGTCAACACTATCAGTTGAAGACAATTAATATTTGCATTGCCTTTGAGCAAACATAGCTCACAAAGGACATGAAGAAGAATTATATATGAGGAAGCTACCATAACATGCCATTCAACTTTATGCTCAGATATGCTTCACATATTACTTATCAGGCAAGATTCCATTTTTTTCATTCTGAGTGGTGACTTTAAAATCATTAAAAGCAGGTGGCTTGGATGCTGATAAATGTACAAAGTTAATTCGTAACTAAAAAAACAGTCATGCCAGAATGTCAGCCGTTTTAAAAAAAATGTAAACAATTATCATGGCATATTGTTACTGTGATGATCACAGTTGGCTATTAGTTGTATGTATATTAATTCCACATTAATTTAATGCTCAAACACTTCGTGAGACTAAATTATACCTGCATGAAGACAATGTAACACTTCAATAACTATTAGGCGAGTTTGTATATTGCTTGATTGCACAACACAATATCACTTTTTTAAAAGCGATCATATATCTTGACTTAAAGCTTTCGTGACTGCAGGAATTCATACTCTTTGGGTCTTTCGGTAAAGTCACGTAGATAGAAAATTAATAAAGTAATAAAAACTAAATTATAATTAAAAATCACGACGTTTCGATCGCAACGCAAACAATCGTCTTCAGGTGAAAAAATACAGCAGGCGGATAACTATAGAAATTTCTAGCTTTAAAAATATAGCTATATTTCTTCCTGCCTCAGCAGTCCACCTGCTGTACTTTTTCACCTGAAGACGATTGCTTGTGTTGCGATCGAAACGTCGTGATGTTTATTATCTTATAAATGTTCTATCTACGTGACTTTACCGCAAAACCCACTGAGCATTTAACAAAAACACGTTTAAGATATATTTACAACGTTTAAAGGGTTTCTCTAAAAACAATGACAGCCGAGGCCAATAACAGGTTGAATGTTATACAACATCCTTTGTTCACAACATGAGCCTGATGGACAGTTGGAATTTGGCTGGCATTCCTGTGGGCTGTTTAGAGAGATAATGGTGATATGTCAAGGTGCCACACGCTGTATCCCCCTCACTCCTGGGGTTTGCATTGCGACTTTCCAATCTGCAGGCGCATAGTGGTGCTCCTGCAAAAGCTGCCCACACGCCGCTCGAAAAAGCAGTGACTTGAATCTGACGTCATCGTCATAATACATTCAATTGACCATCACCACATATTTTATCTGGGCATTATTTTGTATTATTATTTTTTTGCATTTTTTTTATTCTTTAATAGGCTTGAAGCTAAAATTATGGGATTTAATATATATCATTCTGATCCATT